TTGAAGCTGGGACCACCTTGATTCCGAGGAGTCTGAAGCTTCTGAGCTTGGGCATAGTCCGCGAGAACTGTTGAATTCGCACGCGAAACTCTTCTCCACTGCCGGCCAGCCTGTTTGTGCCGTCACGGCAGTTCATGCAACAGTTCGTGAGTCAGGGTGAACCTAAGTTCTCTTCTCAAGCAAAGTGTCAAACTGTTCAAGTCATTTGGCGTTTGGTCCGACCGGCAGAAGAGGAACGAAAACGGACCGAAATTTCAAGCCGAGGAGCTGTCACCGCAAGGGCATGTTTTACCTCCGACAGCCAAGACCCTAGTGCGGGAATAGCTTCGTTCTCAACCCGATCGGCGGCCAACTTAAAACACTTGCCCCTTGCCCTAACCGCCATGCGACAGTTTCACCCTCACCTTAATTGCTCCGGCGCCTCCGGAAATGGCCCAGTGCGGTAGTGGTTCCGGTCTAGCCTCCTGACCGTTTGTTATCCTACTCCATCACAGCCATCCGCCTTCGATGCCTTGGACAACTTAAATACACCGTCATCACCACCCTTCTGTGGAAACATTTTCTTCTCCATCAGCAGGTCTTTCTTTACTTCCACCTCTACCACATTCCTTCCTTCGGGCTTCATTGATTGAAGTTCTCACTTTCGTTGCGCTGGGTCGCTCACTCTTTCAGTCAATCACTTCCATTCTCTAAACCAATTCTCTTTACTCCCAACTCTTTTTTAACCAAACTCGCCAAAATGCGTCAGGCTCAGTCTTTGTCCCTCTTGACAGCTCTTCTGTCCGCCACGCGTGTGGCTGGACACGGTCATGTCACTAATGTTGTCGTCAACGGTGTTTACTACGAGGGCTTCGATATCGGCAGCTTCCCCTACGAGTCCGATCCCCCTAAGGTGGCGGCTTGGACCACTCCTAACACTGGCAACGGTTTCATTTCCCCCAGCGACTACGGTAGCGATGACATTATCTGCCACCAGAATGCCACCAACGCCCAGGCCCACATCGTCGTTGCGGCTGGTGACAAGATCAACCTTCAGTGGACCGCGTGGCCCGATTCCCACCACGGTCCTGTCCTTGACTACCTCGCTCGCTGCGACGGTGAGTGTGAGACGGTTGACAAGACCACTCTTGAGTTCTTCAAGATCGATGGCGTCGGTCTCATCAGTGATACTGAAGTGCCCGGTACCTGGGGAGATGACCAGCTGATTGCCAACAACAACAGCTGGTTGGTCGAGATCCCCCCGACCATTGCTCCTGGCAACTACGTTCTTCGCCACGAGTTAATCGCTCTCCACAGCGCTGGCACTGAAGATGGTGCTCAGAACTACCCCCAGTGCTTCAACCTCCAGGTCACTGGCTCCGGTACTGACAAGCCCGCCGGTACCCTCGGCACCAAGCTTTACACTGAGGATGAGGCGGGTATCGTTGTGAACATCTACGCCTCTCTGTCTTCCTACGCCGTCCCCGGCCCCACCCAGTACAGCGGTGCCGTCTCTGTCAGCCAATCCACTTCGGCCATTACCTCCACCGGTACTGCTGTTGTCGGTAGCGGCAGCGCCGTTGTCACCTCTGCCGCCGCGGCTACCACCAGCGCTGCTGCTTCTTCTGCCGCCGCGGCTACCACCGCTGCTGCCGTTACCAGCGCCAATGCCGACACCCAGATTGCCCAGCCCAGCAGCAGCTCCTCTTACTCCCAGATTGCTGTGCAGGTGCCCTCCTCCTGGACCACCCTTGTGACCGTCACTCCTCCCGCCGCCGCTGCCACCACCCCTGCTGCCGTCCCTGAGCCTCAGACCCCCTCTGCCAGCTCTGGTGCCACCACTACCAGCAGCAGCAGCGGCGCCGCCCAGTCTCTCTACGGCCAGTGCGGTGGTATCAACTGGACTGGAGCTACCTCTTGCGTTGATGGCGCTACTTGCCACCAGTACAACCCTTACTACTCCCAGTGCATCTCTGCCTAAGCAGGTCGCTTACTTTCTCTATAGCTAGATCATCTAGATTATCTCAAATGAGATCTGCTGAACTTGTATATTAGTCTGAGCACTCAGAAACTGATTTATATTCAACACTATCTTATGTTCACTTTCTCCGTTTTTACTGTGAGTTAAGGTAGTACTTGGTCCATGAAAGTTCCTGGCTGTTGTCATGTGTCTTAGAGTATTCCGGCATGTTCATACTCAGACCGTGTTCCCCCTGCCAAGAGCGCTTGAGTTCAGAATTTTGCTGGCAGTGAATGTGCGCAGCTTGGTTGCGCTTAGTCGGCGAGGGGTAGTGTCTGCTGCAAGGTAAAAGGCATTTCCCACATATTGCAACACGGTCATCTCTTTATCTTCTAGACTGTCGCTTCCCATCCCTACATCCTACAGAATCTTTAGTTATCCTGGACCTTCCTCTCTCTGATAGATATCATCAGGTAGACAACCTACAGCTGGCTTCACAGTACTTTGGTTACTTTCAGTAAGCATACATTTATTCAGGACTTTCACAATTTGCTCCAACTGGATCCCCATCATCTTGAACAAAGCCTCACGCTTCAACGCATAAAGAAGAAGTTAAGTTGCGTTTCTGACACAGATCATCAGGTTGATATTCAAATACATCAAACAGACATCTTGAAAGCAATTATCTTCACAAGTAAGTAGCTATCCATCCAGGTCTTTGAAGAATAGCCTCATCTTTATCCTCAACAACCTGAACAAAACTTCACACTCCGACGCATGAAGACAAAAGGCAGACGCATCACTGACACAGATCCTCAGTATTATCAGGTAGATTTTCAAGCCAACCAACGAACATTTCGACAGCAATCATCACTGCAAGCAAGTAAGCATCTGTCCAGGAATTTCACAAATCACCTCACGGGCGTCCCTGAAGCCCTGAGTCAAGTCTCATCCTCCAACGCATAGGAAATAAGGGCGACGCATGTAGAAAACCATCAGACCAGACAGCACAGCTAACAGTATACCTCACTGAAGATACGCATAAAGCACGAACCACGAGCACACCCCCGAGGCCCACCTTTTAACCCTGAAATCCGCAAAAGAGCTCCATCCCAAACGGCAGACAGCCTAGAAGATGGACGCGAATACCAAGGCCCTCGACGCCCCAAAGGAGTACATCTCAAACCTGCCTAGCAAGAATGTACGGGCAATGCTGCTCGCAGCGCTCAACGTCTGGTTTCACTTGCCCGCGGCGATGCTCGCAGGTTTGACTGAAGTTGTGAACCAGCTTCACAATGCCTCTCTCATCCTCGACGACATACAAGACCAATCTCCCCTGCGCCGGGGTCAGGCGGCTACCCACGAGGTCTTCGGCGTGGGGCAGTCCACCAACACCGCGACGTTCATGATCGTCGAAACATTACACAAGGTCGATCTGTTGGTTCGTGGGCAGGTTCGAGCTCAGGCCCAGACCCATGCTCACACCCAAGCTTATGAGCAGGGCCAGGCTGAGGCTCAGAACGAAATCATAACTCCTCCCGTCACCTCGTCCCCCTCCTCCATTGAAGCTCAGTCCCATCAGGCCCAGAAGATAATGCATACAAGCCTTAGGTCCCTGTTCACCGGCCAGTCTTGGGACATCGATTGGAAGGAGCGGAACTATTGCCCAACTCGCGAGCAGTACCTGGAGATGGTCACCGGCAAGACCGGAGCGCTGTTCCAGCTGATCTCGAGACTGATGTTTTGCCTCGCCGGCTCGGGATCCGCGATCCTCCCTGCCAGCCCACACCCGCCGGAGGAGCAGGAATCGCTGGTGGAGAAACTCGATCGCTTCATGAACGAGCTCGGATTGTACTTTCAGGTCCGCGACGACTACCGTAACCTGAAGGATACATCCTACACCGCCCAGAAAGGCTTCTGTGAGGACCTTGACGAAGGCAAATTCAGCTATCCTGTGGTCATGTGCTGTGAGATAAACTACGTGTTTAAGAGGCCCCTTTTGGAGCTTTTTGGTCGGCTGAAGTACAGGAAGGGTGGTATGGAGTTTGAGGATAAGATGAAGGTTTTGGCCATGTTGGATAAGTCCGGCGCGATGAAAGCCACGGAAGTCGCCATCGAAGCGTGGGAAGAAAAGTTGATGGAGATGGTCACAGATCTTGAAGAAGCGTTTGGCTCTACTAATCCTGCCTTGAGGGAGATCCTGATGAAGTTGGCCGCTTAGACGTTGACTTGGATCCGTACCTCTGGTTAGATCTTCTGCTTTGGGAATTCGGTGGTTGGTTTTGTGGAAGGTGGAGCATGGTGTTTAGGGAGTGGGTGGGGGCTCGGTGGGGATTCGGTGTTTGTATTCTGTTGGATTACATTCCTTTCTTTTATTTCCCTTTCATGCGGTGAATTTGCTTGTTCTTCATTACAATGATCTAGTTATCCTATCAGGCTGCAAATTGAGAAGATCTGGTTTTGCTCGAAGATTCCTCCGATAGTGACATTGGTAGAAGATCAGTTTGTCATGAGTAAGTTGTATAACAGATCGACACACAAAAAAGTGGAAATCTCGTCAGAGGGTAACCTAAAGACAGATGCCTCTAACTTCATGATATGATCGTTTCGTTGCACAACTTCGGCCTTTATCCAGGATGATCCCGTTACTTCCCGCCTGCTGTGTAATTTTATATTGACTAGTAATACTAGTAGTACCCATGCAAAATACAATGCACAAATGAAGCTTATCTTTAGGTACTGTTGTTCTATGAAAACCCTCAGTAAGGCCTACCAAATTTCCGTCCCGATAACAATCGAGCACTGAACTCAATAGAGAGAGGCAGTAAACTCCGCGAGTGGATGATGCTAAGCGGTGAGCGGCCGCTGGAAAAGGACGTCAGGATGAACCCCCCCACCGGTATCCGGAACCAAACCCCACAAACCCAGGAAGGCACCACTGCCCTCCCTATTAAACACCTCCACCCCCTCCCCCCAGCTTATTGTCTCTTCATTCTCCTCTTAACTTACCCATGACCATCCGAAGACCATTCCCTACAAGCCTTCCCTAAGCACAAGCAAAATGCTCAAGTGGCCCCGCATCCAATTCTACGAACTGGGTGACCAATCCTGGCTCCCAGGCTGGCTGCACCAACACGAGCAGTTCACGCTCACGCAGCTCTGGCACCTGTCCATCCCCGGATGGAGCCACGGCAGCCTAGCCACCCAGGCCTGCACCGTCATCCGTGAGTATCTGCCGGATGTGTCGTCGTACCTGTTCGTCGACCTCTGCGCCGGCGCCGGCGGGCCCACCCCGTTGCTCGAACGGGCACTCAATCGAACCCTCGAGCAGACCAACGGCAGCGACAGCAGCGATCGGCCGGTCCGATTCCTGCTCACCGACCTTTTCCCTCACCTTGAGGCCTGGAAGGGCATCACCAAGAAGCAGCAGAACATCTCCTACATTCCTTCCGCCGTGGACGCGCGGGATGCTCCGCGCTACACCCCCAAGGATCGCAAGGAGTGTCGCATCTTCAACATCTGTTTCCACCACTTCAAAGATGAGGATGCCCAGAAGATCTTGCAGAATGCGGTCGAGGAGGCGGATGCGTTTGTGTATGCCAATTCAGCCCGTTTCTTCATCTTTTGTTTGTACTGGGGATCATGTACTGACAACAAGTAGGATCTTCGAAATCACCGCCCGGGACCTCTGGACGTGTCTGTGCTCCCCGCTGATTTTCTTCTTCACGTACCTCGTGACGCTGCGCTGGTACTGGTGGTCGCCCGTGCATCTGTTCTTCACGTATGCGGTGCCGGTGACAGCGCTGGCATTGTGGGTTGATGGGCTCATCTCGTGTCTGCGGACGCGAACGCCCGAGGAGATCTCGGCGCTGTTGCAGCGGCAGGAGGTGGTGGATGTGGCCGGATGGAAGTTTGCGAGTGGAAGCCGGACAGTGCAGTGGCCTTTCATTACCTTGCATTATTATGTGGGCGTTAAGGCTACTTAACTGTGGGTTGAATGGGTTAGAAGGGAATGAGAATCCATGATGGTAGATTGGGTTGACCTCAAACGGCAAGCTCTTCCTTCTCTTTCTTCTTTCTTGTTTCTTTTTTCGTTATTCTATTTCTAATGTTATTTTGTCTGTTGCTCTGTTTGATAGTAATGCACCCCGAGCTGGCTCAGGCTCAGTGGTCACACGTAGTGAATGGGGCTAGCTTGTAGCTCGCAACAGCTTTTCTATGCAGCAAGCCCAAAACAAGGGTACTTAAGAAAACACCAGTAAGGAACACACAGGGGAAAGAACAAATAAACAGAGAATCAATCTGAGTTACATCCAGTTTGTTGAGTTGTAATACAGCACCTGCTTTTTAAGGTGTACATTACAGTAAGGTACTGTACAGTAAGTAAACCCCCTGCGGCGGAAAAGCGGAAACCAGGCTGGTGGTCCAAGTGTCCCTCCCGCTCCGGTCCGCCCATCCCCCCATCATGCCATTGCCATCCGTCCATCCCTCCCATCTCTCCATCCATCATACCACAACCATCCCAAACCACCAGTTCACCAATCCATTTCCCACATAAACCATGAAGATAATAATCATAGGCGCCGGCCTCGGCGGCCTCACCACCGCCATTGCCTGCACGAAGCAAAACCTCGACGTCCTCGTCCTCGAGAAGTGCCCCCACCTGCAGACCGCCGGCGCCGGCATCCAGATCCCGCCCAACGGCACGCGCGTCATGCGCGACCTGGGTCTGCTCCCCCAACTTCTCCACGAAGGAGGAGCGAAAGTCCTCGAGCACGTGGATTTCCGGCGCTACGCGTCGGGCGACCTCCTCCGGTCCATGCCCTTCGGGGAGGGGATTGTGCGGGAGTTCGGGGCGCCGTGGTTGATCATCCACCGAGCGGATTACCATCGCGTGCTGTATGAGGAGGCGGTCCAGCTCGGGGTGGAAGTCAGGCTGGGAGTGGCGGTGGAGGGGGTGGATTTTGAGGGTCCCGCTGTGCTGTTGGCGGGTGGGGAGCGGGTGCGCGGGGATGTTGTTTTGGGGGCCGATGGTGTGTTTTTTTTCCCTTCCTTTCTGGGTCGTACTCCCGGGAGGCGTGGGGTGTGCTGACGGTGGTGGTGCTAGGGCTCTGGTCGCAGGTTCGGGGCTGGGTGGTTGGTGGGGATGGAGCGATGCCTCGGGAGACTGGCGATCTGGCGTATAGGGTGGTGATTCCGAGGTCGGAGCTTGAGGCTCTCCGGGATAACAGGGTGGAGGAGCTGTGTCGGCGCGTGGCGGTTACGAGCTACCTCGGGCCCGGGAAGCATACTATCTTCTACCCCGTAAGGGGCGGGAGGGAATTCAATCTGGTCTTGCTGCGGCCAGATGATTTGCCGTCGGGGAGGAGGAGGGAGGAGGCTGGGGTGCAGGAGATGCGTGAGAGTTATGCTGGGTGGGATCCTACGTATGTTTTTTTATTTTTGTTTCTTCTGTGCAGGGTGGTTTAAGGATTGGGATTATAGTTGAAGCATCCGCTGACAAGCTGCTAGATTGGAAAAGCTTCTGTCGCGCGTCACCTCGGTCTACAAGTGGAAGCTGGCCCAGCTGCCGGAGCTGCATACATGGACGAAGGTTTGAGTCTCTTGATGGCTACTGCGCGGATTGCTGATTTAAGTACAGGGTCGAGTGGCTCTTCTCGGCGACGCCTGTCATCCTACCCTGCCTTATCAAGCCCAGGGCGCGGCAATGGCTGTTGAAGATGGAGTCGTGCTCGGTAGACTCCTCGGGCTCTTGCAGAGCCATCTATCACAATCTAGATCCAAGGGAAAGAATGTGTCCACCGCAGACAGCATTGCGTCGATCCTGAAGCTTTACGAACAACTCCGAAAAGGACGTACAACACGCAATGTGCGGGCTGCGCGCATCAACCGGTTCCTACTCCATTTCGCAGACGGGATTGTCCAAAGGCTCCGCGACTTTTTTCTGGGGTATATGGGCGTCACCCGCGAGAGCGACTGGAGTTGGCTCTTCTCTTTCTCAATGAGACAGACGCTGGGTCTGGATGTGATTCGGGACTGTGAGGCTGCGTTTGAGGATTGGGTGCGCAAGGATTGACTGGCGTAGTATGTTGTGGTATTACGGTACGATGCCATTTCATGTTCGAAATAATATACAAGGCTGACTACAATCTATCCAGGCATCTTACCTATGGTAGCCTCCGGCGTCAGGCATGCCTGCATTAGTGCAGCTATGACCAGCGATAGAAGCTCAGGTGCAGCAAGCAAACATGAAAGCACAGCCTTGAGTGTTTCTTTTCTGAACCGGCTGACAACCACATAACAAGAGCATATCCGGGTCGAGACCATAGGAAAGTCCTGATCGCCGCACAACGAGCGGTGAATGACGACAAAGTACTAGCGCCAGCACATGACCATTCCTCAAACCATTATGGCCAACAGAGACAATACGCTTACGTCCGGCAGTTTATGGTAAACCGGTCTTATCAATGCTTTTCCCAGACTATTATTCACAAGTGCCATTTGCAAATTTCCAGTCACCCGGAAATGTGTCAAAGTCTGTTCTGCGGGTCCCCGACGCAGCCTGTCGCGTCCTCGTCTTCCTTCTTTACCGCCAATTAAGCGTGGTATCCTGGAAGCGAAGAACAAAAGGAATCTACCAAGCACGTACCGAGTATTCAAACCTTTGAGCAACTATTGTACAGTATCGAAAAGAAGCGAAAGGGGCGGCATGTCCGGGTGGAGGCCCTAGAGGTGGCTTCGAGCACAATGCCCGCTTGGGCCCAAGTCAGCTGCTCCTGCAGGAGCGGGGCTAATGCAAGGCATTAGCCATCATACACTAAGTCTCAACATGTCTTTAACAATTGGGACGATGGCGCATCTGGGAGCGCGTCAGACTGAAGCACCAACTTCGGCCATAAATCTGAAGGTGGCCGGTTCAAGCCCGGCTCGTCCCATTCTTTCTTTTTTCCTTTTTTTTTTCTCTGTCATGTTATGTGGGTCTTCGAAAGTGGGTCCGCCGTGGTCCTTGTATGCTGGGACCTGGGGTAGATCATCCCCCACTGCACCATCTCCCCGATACCAGTTTGAAGCCCAGACGATGAACTGACAATGTGGAGAGAGATAAATCGATCTTGATACACGCGCATGGGATCGTGGAGGAGTGTGCTTTTGATTACCTGGCCAAGGAACCTGCCAAGAAACTGGTAGGGTAGAGGTTTTGTATATTGACATAGATAAATACTTTTTGGCATACTTATGAGTGTACAGTTTATCTCCAATATGGGCTGGCCAGCTTGTTGCAGATGACAGGATTCAAATTTCTTTGGCGCAGAAGATCGACTAGGTCAGTGTCTTACCCTTATTTTGCCTAAACGGTGTAATTGTCGGCGTTCCCGAGTAATCTATCCACGTGATCCAAAATGGTGACCAGGTTGTGTCGCATGTTGATATCCCAGCTAGTTGCAATCATCAATAACCACCAAAGATCAAGAGGTTGTGTCATATTCCCCCCGCTGAGTCACTCAAATCGCTGACAGTAACGCTCTCATTGAATGGCTCAGTTCATTTATTACGAATAACTCAAGTGAAGCAAGTTACTAAGGGATTTCCGGAGTTGGCGGATCTTCCGCCAACAATGGACGTTTCTTCACTAATGACCTTAGAGGCTGCAGCGCAAGCTATCGGCGCAAGGAGCACCCGGATCGTCACCGAGCCTACAATATCACGCAACATTCCTCGAAATGGGCAGTTTGTGGTTCTCAATGAATGCTCTGGAAGCAAATTCAATATGCAACTGAATTAAACTCCCGAAGAGATTTATTTTGAATGAGAACGAAAGTTTATTGAAAATTATCGCTCAAAAGGACTTGAGGTCAACGGTGAAGACAGAAGGAAAAATAACAAACCATCAAGGACCAATTAGTAGCTCTCAGGTGTCTTCACCCATTATGTCTGGCTGTAGCAGCGGCATCAAACTCTGCTGTAGCTGTTGCTGCTGTTGCTGCTTTAGATGGTAGAGCTGGTGGGTGTGATACTGTCGCTCTAGGTCCTGCTGCTCTAAGCCCTGCTGGTACTGCTGGTAGAGCTGGTCGGTACGATGCTGCTGCTCTGAACCCTGCTGTTGCTGCTGTTGCTGTTGCTGTTGCTGCTGCTGATATTGCTGGTAGAGCTGGTGAGGGTGATGCTGCTCCTCCTCTAACCCCTGCTGCTCCAAGCCCCGCTGCTCCAAAGCCCGCTGCTCCTTCCGCAGATACTGCTTGGGAGCCTCGCGGAGGTGGCCCTCCTCCGCCAACGCCTGCTGCTGCCTCAGCTGCTTCTTGAGCTTGTACTCCTCGTAGAGGTGGCTGAGATGACGCTCCTGCTCCAAAGCCAGCTGCTGGATACCCTGCTGCTGCCCACCCAGCTCCTGCCGGTCCAGCTCCAGCCCACCCTCCAGCCCACCCAGCTGCAAACCCAGCCCACTCCACCCCTCCATCTCCTCCACCCCCCGCAACAGCATCAACATCTGCATCTCCTGCCACGCCTCGCGCAGCTGCGCCCCCTCCGCACTCATCTCACTGCGCAGCCACCACCCCGTCCCGCAGGCCGGACACCCGAACGCCAGCGCGCGCCCCGCCGCCGCCTCCCGCTCAAACATCCCGTCCAGGCAGCTATCGTGCCAGGCGCTGTGCCCGCACGCCGCCATCGGACACCGCCAGAACCGCGTGTCCGCGCACAGGTGCTCGTGCTCCCCGCACAGCCCGCAGACCACGTCCGCGGGCATGTCGCTGATATAGGCCCAGCTGATGCGGGCTTCGCTTCGTTGGCGGGCGCGATGTGACAGGGTCGCGAGGTGGGTGAGGTTCGGGTGGATGGGGGTGATGTCCATTCTCTTTTCTGGGGTTCTCGTTTTGGAGAGGGAAATCTGGGGGTTAGGGTGGTTAGTTAGTTGGGTTTGTTTGGTTTCGGGGTTTTTGGGAGGGTTGGGAGCGTACGGTACGGTACTGTTGTCTGGGATGGGAGATTGTGGTGGTGGTTTTATATGTTGCGATATCAAGGCTGGGAGAGGAAGGTGCCGTCGTGGACTGGTGGTTGTCAGAGGTGGAAGGTTGTGTTTGAGTGTCGTTGTGTGGGTTGGGTGGAGGTTTTCGCTGTGGTTCGTTGTTGGTGGGTTGCTGGTTGGTGTGTTCTTTCTGTTCTGGGTGGAATATGGCTGGGAGGTTCTTCTTTCGTCTTTGATGATTTAGAGCTGTGGTCCTTGTTCGGGAATTTGTTTCAGGATTGTGTTATTGCGCTTGTCTGGTGAATTCGTGGCAGGGAAGTGAGGTTTGGTGGACATCATCTCGCGGGCGTGTTGGAATATCTTGATATTGATAAGTTTTGGGGAGGGTCATGTAGAACAGTTCAATTGTGTTCTCGGTACCTGGCTGATACTAACTAAGTTATCTACATGTAACCTTTTTTTCGTATATCAGTACTGCTTAAATATGCTGAAAGTCCCCAGGGATCTTCTACACACAAAGGCGAAATGTTTTCAAGCAGAAATTATTCACCATGTGAAAGGTATCTCAAAGGAATGATTATCCAGCTATCGAGTATTTCACTAGTGGCACATTTATAAGCATACCTGGTAATCTATCCAGTAGTCTATTTAGTAGTCTATTTAGTAGTCTATTTAGTAGTCTATTTAGCAGTCTATCTAGTAGTCTATCTAGTAGCCGGCTTACCAAGTGTCTTCCTTATGACAGACCCTTACTCTAGGGCTCTCACTAGCAGTATAATCATCATGCTTGTTACGGCACCTCCTTGCTTATGAATTTCTGGTCACGTACAATTACTGGATAGCAGCATATAGACAGGCAAACAAAGTAGTATAGCAAGCTATCACTGAGACTTTGCATCCTGTAACCACACTAACCAAACGAGAAGAAGTCTCTCGATCAGGGTCAACTTCGGTATTCATACTTCAATCACACATCATCTTCACCCCCCAAAGCAATTCCCCACCCCCCACCGCCCGGACTATTGACCTCCATCAACTCCCCGGCCTCCAACGCCAACGCCGCCTTCCCCCCCAAAGACAGCTTCTCATGCCCCGTCCTCGCCTCATTCCACCTATACACGAAGTTCGTCCCCACAGAACCCTCCCCGCCCCCTTCCATCCCATACGGCGCAAACACCCGGCGATCACTGAGAATACTAAACCGCAAGGGCACCCGCGCCTCAATCAGTCTCGTAGCGCCGTCTCCACCGCGGAACTTCCCGCGTCCACCCGTGCCGCGGTTCACCGCATGTCTCCGCACGATCACCGGGGTGCGCTTCTCCACGACCTCGGCGTCCGTGATCTTGGTATTCGTCGAGTGGCACTGAATGGCGCTCTCGCCGTGCCAGGCGGGGCCGGCGCCGCACCCGCCACCCACGGTCTCCCCGTAGTTCCAGCCGGGGGTGATCGTCCCGGTGACGGGATCCTTGCCGCCGAGTCCCCAGCCGAAGCTGTTGGCGCAGCCGGAGAAGGCGGCGCACCGGCCGAAGGCGCGGAGGATGGTGTCGACGACGCGCTGGCTGGCGAGGGTGCTGCCGCAGATGGCGACGGAGGCGCTGGGGCGGAGGATCGACCCCTGCGGGATGCGGATGTCGATGGGCGCCAGGCAGCCGTCGTTCAAGGGGATGTCCTCGTCGATGAGGCAGCGCGTCGTGTAGATGACGGCCGAGTGTGTGATGGAGATCGGGCAGTTGTAGTTGCCCCAGCTCTGCGGGCCGGTGCCCGCGAAGTCGTAGATGGCTTCGCCCGTGGTTGAGTCGATCGTGATGGTCACCTGGATGCGGGTGCCGTCGTCGAAGTGGTCGACTGCCGTCAGCGGGGCGGGGTGCTGGGCGCTCAGGGTGCGGAAGAAGTGGCGCACCGCGGCTTCGGCGTTGGATTGGATCCCGTGCATGTGGCCGTGGACGGTGGGGAGGGAGAATTGGTCGCAGAGGTTCTGGAGGAGGAGGATGCCGCGTTGGTTGGACGCGATCTGGGCTTTAAGGTCGGAGATGTTGTCGCTGATCCGTCGGCTGGGGCTGCAGCCTGGGTGGTCGCCGGCGGCTTCGAACGCTGCTCGGACTGCGTCTTCGAGGAAGACGCCGTTGTCCACGATTTTGAGGGACTGCACGTTAAGTCCTTCTTCCCAGAGCTCCTTGGAGTCGGGCATCATTGCTGTGATTCCCTTGCCTCCGATGTCGGTGTGGTGGCCTCGTGAGGCGACGTAGAAGGCTAGGGTCTCGTTCGTGCCGGTGAAGACTGGGCTGATAGCAGTGAGATCTGGGAGGTGAGTGCCGCCGCATTCTGGATGGTTGGTAAGAAGAACATCACCTGGTCGAAGCTTGCCTTCCCAGAGACGGTGCTGGTATTGGATCGCGTATTGCATGCTCCCAAGGTGGATGGGGATGTGAGGAGCATTAGCTACAAGCTTGCCATCTGGAGAGAATATGGCACAGGAGAAATCCAGACGTTCTTTGATACTGGTGGAAATAGAGGTCCGCTGTAGTGTGTTACCCATCTGCTCGGCGATTGCCATAAAGCGATGGGAGAAGATGGAGAGCTGGATCGAATTGGTGATCTGAGATTCTACCCAAGAGCTTTCATCTGGCTTGCGGTCGATTGCCTCGAGAACGATGTGCTCCGGAAGAATGTAGGCCTCCCAGTCTGGTTCCACGAATATGGTCTGTGTTGCGTCAATAATAATTGCTGGGCCTTCTAGGACGGTAAAATGACCAATGGACTCCAAAGTGTAGTATGGGATATCCTGCCACGAGGTCTTGATGAAGACTCTCTGCAGACTTTGAGATTTGGCTTCTTTCCGCTGGATCTTCGCCTCGTCTAAGGCCTTGAAAGGCGACGCTGAAGTCGCTTGCCATTCCTCGGCTCCACCAGTCCCACGTACTTGCAACGCGTCGATAATTACGGGCCGATCCAATACGAATGCGAATTCGCGGCGATGTGTCTCTTGAAACGCGGTACCATAATCCTCATCCCCCGGCTTGGAAATGGTCAGATTAGTGTCAGTCCCCTGATACCTCAAGCTCAAAGATTCATCAAAGCGCACTGACTCGACCCTCGCCCCTTGAGATATCAGTTCGTCCTTGACTTTACTTTTCAAGGCAGCGAATCGAGCGTTGAGATTGGGAAGGATTGATGGATCAAAAGTGGCGACAGACGGTTCGATGGCCTCCGCCTGCAATTCTGTCTTCGAAATGCCGACCGCAGATAGGATCGACGAGTACTTGTGGATCAGAATGCGCCTGATACCCAGCCGACTAGCAATTGAACAGGCGTGCTGGCCACCCGCGCCCCCAAAACTTACAAGATTATGGTGTTCGGGATGAAAGCCGCGAGCCTCGGTGGCATTTCGTATCGGACGGCTCATGGTTTCGTTCGCAACATTCAAAAAGCCAAGTGCCGTTTCTTCCGGACTCAGAGTCTGCCCCGTTTGCTGGTTGATTTCCCGGGTGATCTCTTCAAACTTGCGAGCCGTTACCTCATAATCAAGCGGCTGGTCTGCGTTCGGTCCGAAGATTGAGGGAAAAGAGGACAGCACCAACCTCCCTAAGAAGAGGTTCGCGTCTGTGACAGTCAAAGGTCCCCCTTTGCGGTAGCACGCAGGACCTGGATGTGCCCCTGCACTCTCGGGACCTACCACAAACAGCCCATTTCGGGCGAAGAGAATCGATCCTCCTCCAGCAGCCACTGTAGCGATATTCAACATCGGGATATTTATAAGGCGGCCGGCTATCGTCGTCTCACTGAGGTAGTCAAAAGATCCATCATACCGTGAGACATCAGTACTGGTCCCTCCCATGTCGAAACCGATTATGGGAGTGAGATTGCTAGGATCGAAGCAGGTCTTCGCTATCCCAACAACTCCGCCAGCGGGACCACTAAGGAGGGCTTCGTTTCCTCGAAACTTCCGGGATGACCGCAGTCCTCCATCTGAGCACATAAAATCGACCCTTTGTGGTAGAACAGAAAACCCATCTTCGAAGCCGGCGACATATCGTTGAACAATCGGGAACAGAAACGCTTCGGAGCACACCGAGTTACTTCGGCGGAGATACTTGATGGCAGGGCTGACTTCAGCTGATGTGGTGACATATTTGAAGCCAACATCGCGGGCCAAGGTGGCTGTTGTCTCCTCGTGCCCCGGGTGGAGATACGAGTGCATAAATGCGATCGCTACAGAATCATACCCCTCTGCCTTCAGCTCGCGCAGAGTCTCGCGGACCGCTTCGACATTCAGGGGCTGAATCACCCGAACAATTTCGCCACTGGCCGTTCGGACCAGAGCCGGGTCGGAAATATCCCTTGAAATGTCCAGCGGGAACGGATTGAGATCATAGTCCTCGATTGTGATTCTCTCGTCAATCTCTACGGCCTTGTGGTGAAGAGGCGTCGCCTTCCGGACATTGAGATCGAAAAGCCTCGGTCGAGTCTGGTCTCCGATGGTGCACACATCTCGAAAGCCCTGGGTGGCCACGAAAGCAAACTTCTCACCTTTGCCCTCTAAAAGTGCGTTGGTGGCGATCGTAGTACCGATGCGACAAGATGCAATCCGTGAGCCGTCTAATTTGGCCGATTTGGGAATGCTACGTCTCTCAATGGTTTCTAAAGCGCGCCGGATGGCCTCGGTCGGGGCATCGCGATAGTTGGTTGGATCTTCGGAGAGTAGCTTGAATACAAGATCTGGCTGGCCTGTAACTTGGACCAGAACATCGCAGAATGTGCCACCGCGATCTGACTGCATTGGTTAGCTTCTTGACTTGAGCCAACACAGGACTGAAATATTGTATTCGCACCAATCGCAATGTTGATGTCGGGGGAGTGCATGATAAGGTGGTAAATCTCAACGATGGTGTCGCGCAACCTCTCTTTCGAGAAGGGACTTGGCTGGAGTTATTATCAGCAGAGGTGTCGCTTTTTCTTCTTCTGAGTTAAGTACTTCATGCGCTTCTCATTGTGCCTTTCATGACTCGAGTCGGGGTAGTTCGGGAGAACTCCGACCTGCAGCAAATGACACCATCCGCCCGCTTGATAGCGACAGGCGTTATCTCCCCACTCATCTGCCATATCGCTCCCTCCCACGAGGTTGACCTTCTATCTCCACATCGGCAACATGCCGTCCAAAATTACCAAAAAAGGTCGTGGCTTCCAAAGTGACCGATTCCGCCTGCTTCGCTCTCCCTCAATAGACCCCGCCAACTTCAACAGTCACAATAGGGGCAACTCTCACCCCGCGTGCGATCGCTGTCGAGGCATGAAGAAGAGATGTGATAGGTCGCGTCCCGATTGTGCTTCATGCCTTCACGCCGGTCGGAAATGCTCGTACCCCGGTGGGCGAGAAGAGGTGGAAGCGCTGCAGGCCAGGCTGGATGAGTTGACACAACATGTCAAAGAGCTCGAGGCAATTCAAACTCCGCAAGGTGGCTGGGCGCAACGCCTGATCAAGCCTCATGGGCCGATTGCAAGTTCAATTGTGCTGGTTGAGGCCTTCCTGCATCATGTTTACCGGGCGTACCCTTTCCTCGATAGAGAGTGGATTTTGCGAGCAGCAGCGGACGTACCCGATGATGGACCTGAGGACGATGCAATGGTGAGTTCGCGCGGACTTTTCATGCCTCCGTGCACAAGGCAGCATTAACGCAAGAACGCAGGTTTTGTACATGGTAATGGCGATCGGCCATACAAGCCTTGAGCGATCAGGAAAGGCCCCAAGTGCAGGGACTGCCGGCTTTACGATCGCATATGCCGAGATCCTGCAGCGATGCACCATGAGTGAAAGCATTCACTCGATCCAAATCCTAATTCTCTTGGCTCTATACTCGCTTTTCGATCCACAAGGCCCGTCCACTTGGACCATTGTGGGCATCGTCACCCGCCAAGCCGTGAGCCTGGGCCTCACTCGACCGGGGTTGTGGGAGGACGGCTTGACCCCACAGGCCGTCCAGCTCCGTCGCCGCCTATTCTGGAGTATCTTCGTGCTAGACCGGATGATGGCGGTGTCAGTCGGTCAGTCCCCGGGCCTCACAGTTGAGGACTCCATGATTCCTTTGCCAACTATCACGGTTGAAGAATTCGCCACGCCAGAGAGGGCGGAGGTGGCTGCCGTGCTGCAGGTCAGTCGACATGTTATCGAGCTGCGCCAACTAGAGGCACGAATTCTCTCCACAGTACATCTTGCGGGCGGAGGCTCACCCGAGGAGAAAGCTCCCTTCGATTGCAGCATGATCACAGCCAAACTACGGTTGGAAATCGAAAACTGGTATAGCCAAGGTTGCCTGATTTCCCAACCGGAGCTTGATAATGTGCGCGTACATGATACCATGGGTTGGTTAAATGCGCGATACTATCATCTGCTTTTGCTGCTGTATTATCCATGTCGATTTAATGCTCGTTCGAACGCCAGTGGGGCCTTCCGTATCAGATCTCTGCTGGAGCTGGTAAGGAAGTTTCTCCAGTACAATCGAGTTCTTCTTGGTAGCCGACAATTGCCGTTGAACCGGATCACGCTAAACCGGCTGGTACCGGCCTGTTTGGTTTTGCTGCATTGCTTTGTGTCCGACGCAGACCTGGCCGATCTCATCCGAATCCAGGCCCGTGTCTGTATAGATATTCTAGGAAGCTTCCCACCACAGTGGCGACAGGCACATCATTTGGTGGATCTGATGCAAAAGCTTCAAGAAATTATTACAGGGCATGTTATTGGTACCAATGATGATAGTGTGCAGTCATTACGGCTGGACATGTTATCCTTGCTGGGCGACACCCTAGGCCGGGCCAATTGTTACCAGGATATCGTTGGCTGGGAAGAGCCAACGCGCGTCAGCTTCGCTCGGGTGGAGGGGCAGTCCCCAGAATTTGCGCCATTCTTATCTCGTTTGAACGAGCCAGACGCTGTCTGTTCTTTCTTCTAACTCTTCGTGGCTAGAACACTGTCGGCCCCGCTCCGAAGACGGACGCTACTGCAGTTCCTGATCAGGCAATTTATGTCGGATTGCACCATCTGCAGGATGTATGTTATCAGTAGATGTTGCTCCATGCGATATGTATAAAGTCACGTCCAATATATGGTGGGATGAAGAGATGCAGTGCGTCGCAACTTCATGATGTCGTCGATAGACACCGATCCAGGGAAACGGCCTCCCACGGCTGTCACAGAACTTCCGCCGCCGCCGCGACGATGGGCGCTCCTCCACTGGCACGAGCCCAATACCTCCAAAGAAGAGAAATGGCTTATCTTCAAATTGGACTGGTTCTTGTTGAGCTATAGCTGCCTGTGTTTCTTCATCAAACAGCTTGACGGCAACAATGTGACAAACGCCTATGCGTCCGGAATGGCTAGCGATCTGCACTTCGGCCCGGGAAATGAACTCAGTTGGATGAACACCTATTTCAACGCCGGCGTCATCATCGGCGGACCGTTCTCAAACCTGATTCTCACCGGTGTGCGCCCGCGCTTCTGGCTCCCGCTTTGTCTCTTCGCGTGGTCCCTTTTCGTGCTATTTCTGTTCAAATGCAACACGGCCCACGAGTTCTACGCGCTCCGCTTCTGTATCGGCCTGTTCGAGTCCGCAGCGTGGCCCGGCATTCAATACGTGCTAGGATGCTGGTACACGAAGTCGGAGATGGCACGCCGAAGCGGCCTATTTGTCATGTCCGGGGTGCTGGGTCAGATGTTCTCCGGGTATCTGCAGGCGGGTCTGTATCGTGGAATGGATGGAAAGGGAGGGATGCCTGCGTGGCGATGGCTCTTCATTTTCGACTTCGTTCTGGCGGTACCGGTCGCCGCCTACGGGCTGGTCTTCTACCCGGATACCCCCGAGACAACGCAGGCATTTTACCTGAGCGACTGGGAGCGCAAGCGCGCGATTGAGCGGATTGCAGACGACGGGCGGACTCCACTCAGCCAGCGTCGACTTCTGGACTGGAGCGTGATCCGACGGGTGCTGGGGAGCTGGCAGCTTTACGTCTTCTCGCTGGCGTATTGTCTTTGGACTTTGACGTGCGGATCGTATGTGATGCAGTATTTCACCCTGTGGCTGAAGTCCACGGGCCATTACTCAGTGCCGCAGATCAACTCACTTCCAACTTGCATGGGCGCGATCAACTTCGTCTTCATGGTGGCGACCGGGTATCTTGTGGATTTCTTTGGTGAAAGAGGGCGCGGGCCGGTGTGCTTTGCAGTAGGATGTTTGTTGACCTTCTGCTTTGCGGTGCTGACAGCGTGGGATGTATCGGAGCAATTCAAGATGGCGGTGTTTATTCTGAGCGGCTGTTATGGGTGCTATACCCCTCTGTTGGCAGGCTGGGTCAATTCTGTCTGCGGCGGAGATCAGCAACTGCGCGCTTTCGTTTTGGCGTTTATGGTCTCGTTGGGCCAGGCTGTGGTCATACCTTTCCAGCAGTTTCAATTTCCGAGTAGTCAGGCGCCTGATTTCAAGAAGACGCATGGGTGGGCCAGTGGGCTGGCGTTTGTGGTTGCTCTGACGCTGTGGACGGGAGTTGGCATAGATACAGTGCAGCGGGTGGTTCAGCGGAGGAAGAAGACCGGAAGTATCACGTAATCTCTTAGTGCTATCAGTGAGACCACCATTATAAGAACTCGAGACTTGCCCACCTTCTCGTATGATTGTGCTCTTAGACATCCCTTTCATGACAAAATGGTAGAATACATTACTGTGAATGATGCCGACCTTGCCTACCGCCTGGTCGGGCCCAATGATGCTCCCTTGGTCGTCACTCTACACGGTGGTCGTGGATTCGGTCAGCGGCACTGCGTGATCACCACAAATACGTCTAGCTGATACGCAAACCAGGAGACCACACCGCCGACTTCAAAGCATACTTTCGTCTCTCTCAGGATAAATTCCGCATTCTTTCGTTCGACTATCGTGGACATGGCCAGAGTTCGCGCACCAAGCCGTATACTTTCCAGCAAATAGTGAATGACATAGAGGCCCTTCGACGTCACTTTGCAGGGCCAGACACGCCGTGCATCATCTGCGGCGGCAGCTTCGGTGGTTTCCTAGCGCTGCAGTACTCCATTGAGTATCCCGATAAAGTGTCTCATCTGATCTTGAGAGGGGCCGCTGCCTCGCACCATCGTAAGTGATTCCAACCACGCGTTTCCCTTCACCAGCACTCCCACCTCAATGCTGCAGAGAAACGCAGAGGCTGATAGTTTCGCGATTCCTGTCTGAGCTACTCTAAAGACGAGGAACAGGCCATTCAGACCCTTGAATTCCGTCTCCACCGAGCCCCCGGGATGAGCATCAACATGCTCCGTGACAAGATCTTCGGTCACTTCAACAGTGACATCGAGTTCCAGCTCGTGATGCACGCTGCCGCACCGCTCTATCGAGAGGAGTTTGATTCTGATCTTGCTCTGCAGCAGAATCTCGCTACGGTGTTCAATGCCGAGTCGCATAGTACGCTTCAATGCTCCATCACCCTGCTGCACGGTAAATGCCGGTGGCTGACACGTCCCTTAGATGATCTTTACGCCGCACCAGAGAAGTTCTTCGACTATCGAGATCGGCTCCATCGGATCAGTGCGAAGACTCTAGTCATCGTTGGAGAAAAAGACTGGATTTGTCCGCCGGCGCAATCCGAGATTATTGTGGAGGGGATCCCAGGAGCTAAGTTGGCGATTGTGGCTGGCGCAAATCATAGTGTGCATTTGGAGAAGAACGAGATGGTTTTGGAGATGATTCGGGCGCATTTGGCTCGGGACTGAGATTCAGATCAGCAGGGTGATACTGTTGGTCAGTTTTCAGTCACCATCAAGATCTAGAGATACCAACATGATATAACTTTGTCAATTTCATGTATATAGGGAGTAAAGACCCATGTTTTGGTGACACTATGCCAGGACTTACGAAATCTGCCTTCGATCTTAAGCCCTTTCAAGCTCATCTTTACCTAATTACACCTTCACTAAGGGAAGGCCCATAATATCAACTATATATCTTATGTATTCCAACATGCTGTTGCTTAAACGTCGGAGAAAGGGATATTCACTAAACGCTGGAACAGGATCATAAAAGTTTCTATCTAATGACTATCACCTAGAATTGATTCGTAAGTGGGTTTAGTTAACTACTAGGTAAACACCCCGCGTTTCTTCGAGAACAAACCCAATACCTTCTTGAGATGGAATTGACAATTTGTAGGCAAGGACCCAAAAACAGAATCACCCCAATAACAACAACGAGATATGATTCTCCCATCGAATACAAACAGAAATGCCGTATCGTGACTACAATCCCCCATCATCTTCGAATTTCGGCAAGAGCTCCTCCCTAGGATGCAACAGCTGCTCGATATCCGTTACATCCCTGCCATCAACCCCCTCCAACCCCTTCTCAATCCTTTCCCGCACCCAGCCAGGGAAAATCCCCAGCACCTCGGAAATCTCCTCGGGGCTGAGAGCACGGTAGCTGATCACGTTGCGATCGTGACCGAAGTTCCGCCATACTCCGTCCATACCCAGATGATAGAAGCCCAGTGGATTTTTTGGTAAGGCGCGCAGGGTGGTCAATAAGACGGAGTTATTGGCGCAGGCGGGTGCTTCGGCGGTGTTTGGCTGTGTTTCGGGCTGTGGGCTTTTCGAAGTATCAGTGTTGTTGAAGAGGGATTTGAGGATTGAGAGTCTGCATACCATGTCCTTGGCTGCTTCTTCGCATGGTTCTTGCATTGGGAGTTTACCGGGGGTTATTGTTGATGGATTATAACGGACGTCGGAGCATGGGACAGAACTGTCTTTCTGTCTGGGTCAAAAGATGAGGCAATTCTACGCTTTATTTGTGCTCAGAACAGTGAGAATGTATACAGCTGATGTGTTTCTCCCAGGAGGAAGAAGGTATTCTTTACAGTGCACGAAGCCACGCTGATCACAAGGCCCATGTCAAACCTAAGACAGGAATGGTAAAAGCAGAGATACCTGTTTAGTATAGTTGTAGGTCAGACCACTGCAGCTGCCTAACCATCAGCCCCGAATCTGTTAAAGAAGCATGCAATCCGGCAAGGTCCTTTGGTTGAGGGTCGGGTAGACCCGAATAACATGACTCCGATTGGGTATAGTAACCCACTACAGTACCTGGTAGGCTTAGCGAATGGCTTGCTTATTTACTTTCGTTGTCCTATTGGCTTTAGTCTAGCAGGAATGAGACTTGTTTTGACAAAGAAGAGTATATAAGTCACTAGCTTATGTCGCAAGTACGACGAAAGCAGGATTGTCGGACACCTCTTTCCATCCGATGTTCCGCGATGAGTGTTTAAATAAGAATCGAGGGTCTCATTAGCAAGCATCAACGGGCCGACAACAAAGTCCAATTGCGATCTTGAAAAGCTATCAGGACGACTTGTCCTCGAAAGCAGAGTATAAAAAGTCGATGATCGCATACACCCTGCGAGATCACTTGAGTTTACGTCAACTAACCGGGTGCATCCATTTGCCAACGCCTTATATTAATCTAGCCAAAAACAGGTTCTGAGATGCACTGCCGTGCGTAAGGAAGGCACCACGCTTTCTCAATGTTAACCAAATTATCTATGTCTGTCAATCATCTCAGTGCTAGAATGTGCCGTTGTACCATCTCATAATCTGCAGATCCAAAACTCCGGGACACGTTGACGTCAAACCGATTTCCCCCCAGGCTGTCTCACCATGGCCGCCACCTCGAACGGATCGACCAAAGGATCATTCTTGCTCACGAAGCCGAACTTCTGATAAACCGGCTGGCCGTCGGTGCTCGCGTCGATATAAATGTGCGCATTCTCCTCGTCGCCCACCTCGCACCCCCATTCCAGCAACAAGCGTGCCGCGCCCCGTTTCCGGTAGTCGCTATGCGTCGCTAGCATATCAAGATCTGGTGGTCGCGTGAGCACCGTCAGTCCCCTCGGCTCAATAATCCTCAACGAGATACTTCGATTCTCCCGGGGTCAAACGTACAGAAGTTCTTGGGAGCACCTGCGACAGCCGTCGCCCGGTTGGTCTCCAAGTGACCGAGAAATTTATCCATCAAGGCCGGGTCCATCTCGGAATGCCACGCGGGCCACCGTGGTCCGCGCTCTTCGGCGGTCTCCAGCGACCACTTGGCGTACGCGACGATGCGGCCATTCTGCGCTGTGTCCACGACCTTGAGATACTTCGCGTTGGGTTTGTGGAGCATGTCATGGCGGTTGGCTTCGTTCCACCACTGGCGCACCCCGGGGGTGTCCGTCCAGAGAAATAACATGCCGGGTGAGAAGGCATTGTACCACAGATCGGTGATCTCATTCAGATCGTCGATTGTGGCGAACTCGAGTCGCAGAGGCGAGCCATCCTTCTGGGGGACACGAATGGTTCCGGCTGCTGTCATGGTGGTTGAAGAACTGTGAAGAAAAGTGGAGAGAACAGAACAGCTGGCTGGAGGGTGAGGTGAGCAGATAGATAAGTGACTGGTTTAAATGAGGGGTTGAGTCATCGGTCATCGTAAGCTGCAATCGAGACTGACTGACTGACTGACTGAGACTAATTTAATTTTAGTCTCCCCGCCCCCGCCCGCGCGGGCAAGCGTGGGAGGCGTTGGATCCGATCCATATGATCATGGATGCGTCTGCAAGCCTTTAGCGGAGTCGCCCCGCTCTTATACTTCATTCTTCACTTGTACCAACGAGAGGATTTGGTTTCCGACCGGACAAATTTGCCTGCTACGTACCATGGTGTAGTGGTTGGAATTTGGAAGTTTGTTATTTGATGCGTGGCGTTGGCTGTCCTTGGAAATGGCCATTCGCGATCCGTGTAACTGGAGAGAGAACGTGGGTCGGCCCGCAAATTTTGAACGCGACTCTTACAATACTCAAGACCATCCAGGCCACAAGTCATCAACTGACAACTTACGATGTCAGTCAGTGCTTGAGGCTCCGGACCCTGGTCCATCGTAGCTAAGCTAAATTCATCTCGTCTGTTGATTAGTCGATGGAGAAGCCAGCCTCAGCTCGACTGATCGGTCGTCAAATCAGATCCAGCTTTTTCCGAGTGAAGGCATATTTCGATGCTCCTTTGCCACGGTCGCTTTTTACAGAACTCTTCCTCTCCGCTGAATAGCAGGGTCCCAATTGATCATTAATCAGTGCCCATCTACACGAGGCATACGGCAGATGATGCTGTGTGACAAGACAAAACCCACATTTACGGCGAACATAGCCTTCATGAATGCGCCCTTGCTTCTTTCAGGGGGCTATACTGGTCATTCCGACATCACAGAGCCTCTGTCAGACGCTTTCTTCTCTACTTTGCTAGGATGAGATTGTTGCCTGCTTTTTTTGTGTACATGTCGCTCACGCGGCCCGTCATCATTGTCTTGCAGTCACGAGACATTCAACTTGATCCCGTCCTTGATCCCATGCTGTCTTGAACCACGATGAGTCGACAGGACGCTCCCTCGTCCCTATCCCTATCAATCAATTCGACCTTCAGTGAAATGCTGTGGTAAATCAGAGTGTTTGATCCAGGCAGCTGCGTACACATGACTTCTGGATTCGAATACTGGAGGCACCATATTCTTTCCCAACTTGCCCAACAACGACCTACAATCGATGCGTTCGCTTAAAAATGGAATATCGTCATTGAGGTTGTGGCTGAGAGCGGGAAGCATTATGTTGCGACCAAGCCCAGAAACCCAGCACGTTGGGACAAGAAGTGCATTTGACGGATGGCCATCGCGTGGCGCCGGGTGCTTCTGGCGCTACTCCCACATCTGCACAACCACCGCATGCTTTTCAATGCCTCGGAGTGATTCCTTGCACTAAATTGGATCTGCTTAGTGCGATCAAAGAGTTGTGTTGAATGCCCAGGCCCAGACCTATCAGAGCTGTGTTAGTCGGCAGATGGCTGGATTTGATTTGTGCGGAATGGACGAAAATCGTTGATCAGTTCCAGACCTTCCGAGCGCTTGGCAGATTCTCGCCTGATCATGTTAACTTATTTTCTGAGTGTCTGACATGACAATCCGTCGAACTTCTCGTGCGTGCCCGATGCGTGTCTTCCCAGTTCTCTTGCAGCGTGATTTGACCAACCAACAGCCAACAGGAGAGAAAATGACGCACCAAGCGGGATGGGAGATGAAACCTTGAAGTGTGGCGGTGAGCGCGCTACGCGATGTTACCCTGAAGGAAATGGGAGTTATCCATGCATGCTCTGTTATCAGTACGCGATAACTACGTGGATCTGCAGGAGATATGCCAGAGAACCCGGCTGCTGTCATCTTGTCGGTGTGCCTGCCCGAGTTGCATGGCTGGGGAGGGGTGGCTGACTTTGGGCGCCACCACGACCTACCTAGTCGTTGTTGGCGCGAGCGACTCAGTGTTGCAACACCACAAAAACTATACAGAACCGCTCTCATGGCCGACTTGTATTTGAGCGATACTCGTGGCTGCCTGCGACTTGAAATTAGGAATGAAGCCTGGAACCATGGCTCCAGTCAAACCCCACCACCAGTCAGTGCTGTGATGTATCGTCGGTTCGATTCCGACCGCGGGCCGCGATGAGGGATATAACACAACCCAACCGGATCCTGGAATCCAGGCATGAACTAGGCTGCCTATGCGTTCTTTACCAGTGAGGGATATAAACCCTTTTGCCCCGCGCTGGTTCAATCTAAATTTTGTTCGCCCCCAACGAACGATTATCATATACCAGTTGCCTTGTCTACGACATGGGTCGCTTCGCTCCTAGTATACCGGTCCCACTGGGACTTATACACTCTATACGAGGCGGTTCAACTCTGCCCGCGGTATATCCTGCTCATAGTACCCGAATGTACTCGCAGACTCAGAGCGACCAAGTGGCCGCGACTCGTTCCACGATAGCACAACTCCTGCGCCAAATAGACTCCAAACACACCGCCCAACAGTACCTCTCTTACTTCAGCACACCCACCTTCTCATCCCGCCCGTTCGCCGTCATCAAAGTCGGCGGTGCTATCCTAGCTGACCACCTCCCATCTCTTGCGTCCGCGATTGCCTTCCTAAGCCAAATTGGCCTCTACCCGATTCTCGTTCATGGCGCGGGGCCCCAGCTCAGCACGCTGCTCTCTGCCACGGGGATCAAGTCAGAGTTCCATAATGGCATCCGCGTTACCGATGGACGTACCCTGGCACTGGCTCGTACAGCTCTACTCGAGGAGAACTTTAAGCTTGTTCAGGAGCTCGAGAGCATCGGTGTCTCCGCCCGGCCGTTAACCTCGGGTGTTTTTCAAGCTGAGTACCTTGATTCAAGCAAGTACGGTCACGTGGGCCGAGTCAACAAGGTTGCAGACTCGTCTATCCGGGCGGCTCTGCGCGCATCGTGCGTGCCGGTGCTGACCTGCATGGGAGAGACTTCCGATGGCCAGGTTCTCAATGTACATGCGGACCTGGCCGCATCTGCGCTGGCGCGGGTGCTGCGCCCGGAGAAGGTCGTGTACCTTTCCGAGACGGGTGGCTTGGTGAACGGAAGAACCGGAAGAAAAATGGACGTGATCAGCCTGGAGTGGTTGCGGAAGCAGGAGTGGACGCGTTTGGGGATGCGGTGGAGAGTGAGGATGACGGCCGTGCACGATTTGTTGGAGGGAAAGGAAGGGGAAGAGGTAAGGGTGTCAGTAGTACATCCTCGGGGGCTGTTGAAGGAGGTCTTTGCGGGCGAAGGCCATGGAGAAGGGACGGTGATCCGAAGGGCTAAGGCTAGGAAAGAAGTTGCTCCTGGGCCCGTGGCAAGAGGAAGCGAGATGATGGTGGGCCTGGTTGATGGGCAGGCGGGACTGCAGCAGCAGGGTGCTATGGTCTGACCAGGAGACTTGCCCTGGCGGTGTCGATGGGACTTTTCTTATCACAATCTACTTGCAATACATACATTAATCGATTCCAAGGGATGCTCACTCTGGCACCCTGCGAACCCGCACCGGGTCAACCTCGGCCCAGCCCTAAGCTGCAGAGTGCCAACATCCTGAAGAAGTCATCATCTTAAACCATCAAGCAATAGACTAAGCTATCTACCTCCAGCTAGCTTGTTCATTGAAGAATGTCTGTCAACCAGACAAATCCCACCGTGGCGGCAACGCACTGATCCTCAACCGACGCGTGAAGCTTTCGCCCCCTTTGATTGGAGGAAGATGGCCGACGGGATTAATATCGATCCCGTCCAGCAATCCATTGTCTTCAACCACTTCCCCTCCGATCATCCATCACGTTCTCTCTCACATGGCTATAATGGGCTTTTGCTCGCCAACTCCAATGGTGGAGTTGCGCGGCCGACCGACCGTTCTTCCCCACCGTGATAAACTGGTTCTTCAGGGGAGAACTGCCGATCCTGCCGATTCCTACCCATTGCGACCAGCATAAAGGCAGCGCTCCATCCGTCTGCCAAACTCTGCTTCAAGCTGCCAGGAACATTGTTCAGAGTTTGAAGTGGCCAAAGTCAATCTTCTAATTCCTCACTTCAGTTAATCATGTCTCTCCGATCTGCCCTACTTCTCGCCACGAGCCTGTCCATGGTCCAAGCCCGGCCGGCCATCTCCAAGCTCAGTGCACGCGGCACCATCGCCAGCGATGAGATCGTGGGATTTGACCAGACGGTCCCTGACGATGCCACGGGCACATTGTACCTGAACTACCAGCCATACCTTTACGTGGTCAACGGATGTGTACCGTTCCCTGCCGTTGATGCGGAGGGGGATACCAAGTAAGTACAGTACTATACACTAGAACCCCGCATACACCTTCCCCTCAACCTGTCCCTTCCCCGCACTCCATGCCCTTCTTCCTCACTCCTCATCAAAAAACCTTTCCAACTCCCCAAAAGTGCAGGACTCGCCCCCACCGGCGCCTCCGACGGCGACTGCAGCTCCTCGACGGGCCAGATCTACGTGCGCAGCAACGTCTCCTCCACCGGCGACTACACCTACCCGACCGCCCTGCTGTACAGCTGGTACATGCCCAAGGACGAGCCCTCCACCGGCATCGGCCACCGCCACGACTGGGAGGGGGTGATCGTCTGGATCTCCGACCCCACCGTCTACACCGCCGACAACATCCTGGCCGTGTGCCCTTCTGCCCATGGCGGCTGGGACTGCTCCACCGACGGGTACACGCTCGACGGCGTCAAGCCGCTGATTAAGTACGAGAGCATCTGGCCCATCGACCACTCGTGCGGGCTCACGACCACCGTCGGCGGCACCCAGCCGCTGGTCGCCTGGGAGAGTCTGCCCTCGGCTGCTAGCACGGCGCTGTCGGATACGGACTTCGGGAGCGCGATCGTGCCGTTCAAGGACGCGACTTTTGACGAGAATCTGGCAAAGGCTACTTATTGATTTGGTCTTAAGGTAGGAAGGGGGTGGGTAAATGTGAGGTTTGCAGGTGGACATGGCTGTAATGTTTCTGTGGCGAAAGGCTCCTGGTGACTGACTTGCGGTGCTGTACATAAGTGGTATCCTGGTTGAATCGTGGGTTATGCGAATATCAAGGCTACCGGCTAGTACTACTGAGGAACACAACACGAACTATATAGGTCGATGAAAATTTCGATAACTATATAGTCACATATATATTCATGACGGCTGTGTCATTTACTCTTGGTTTTGACAAATCACGATTTGCATGGTTTCTTTGCTTGAACAAGGAAGTCCACAGCTATATTCACCTACCCGACTGATTCACTTTGGGGCACGGTTCACTGCAGTCCATCTTACTCTATCCTTTCTCTTGCGAACAATTAGATCTACTCAATAGCTCTGAAAGGTGAATGGCTCCTACTAATTCAACATCATTCAAGCTTGCCCACCTTCAGCTTATGAGGATCTTCCTTATCCTCCGTCTTCTCTCCTCCTCTCATGAACCTTCTCATCCACTTTCTCAGCCACGTTCTCATCCACCCACCATCTCACCCACCATCTCTCTTTCTCTTCCACTATCCTCCCTATGTATCGCTTCAGCGATATCTTCCCTAGATCCTTATCAATATGTCATGAGCTTTGACCTCCACTGCTTCACAAGAGTCCTTCCATCTCGCAGACTGCGTTCCTCTATTCCAAATCCATTGTCGTCAAACTTCGATCTCAATGGCTATTATCTATCTACAAGCTTGTCCACCTTTGTTCTTAGCAACCTGGTGTACACAAATCAGGCGGACTCACAATCCGCCGAACCGAATATCGCCTTTTTTCGATCCTATTTCACCTGGTATACAATGATATGTCGAGATCTCATCACACGACAGTACCTTTTGACAGTACATGGTCTCTTTGAATCCTTCTAGCCCATGCCAAGATTCACACAATCCATGCTAGAAGTCCCCCGTGATCTTCGAATGCGCGCACTTTTCTGCCAGCTGAATGTTCCAATCCCTTGCTAGACGCCTTCGACAGACACGTTTGCAACAGATTGCGCAGCGGATTTTGCTACAAAAGACAAGCATGCGACGAAGGAACTGAAGATGGATGCGGTTGTGCCTACCGGGTAGCCACTAGGCCTCCTCACAGCTGCCAGTGGGGAGTGGTAAGTTTGCGCAGTCCAGACGCGGTGAGTATATCGATGAGGTGGGGAAAGCATCAAGATCTGCTGTGCTGGAGCTAGAGCGCGGCGAGAGGATATCCTTCACCGGGCCGATACAGCCTGTCGGAGAGGGACAGTTTGATGGTGCAGCTTGCCCAAGCCAGTGCAACCGGAAGTGCGAATGGCAACTCGAATGGCGGCAATCCTGCTCGTGCTCCTGCTCTTCGCACTGCTGCTCTTGTTGGTCGTCGTTTTAACGCCGGTACTGGCCGTCGCGAGACAACCGGAGATGCCGAACGCTTCGCCTGTTGCCAACGGTGAGAGCAGAGGGGGGGGGTTTACGGACACAGGGTGTGGTTTCTTTTCTTCGGATGTTTAATCCCCGTATTTGTCAGAACTGGCCACTCTTTTGGGAGTTTGTGATTTCGTTTTCGAATTCTTGGAGGCCATCAAAAAATTCCTCTGCAGTGATAGATGAGTTTTTCAAGCATGGATCGGCCGCTGTTTGGCAGCTCACAACCTTGTCTTTCATCTCTACGCGATACATCCATCATGGCGCCTCCTCTGGATCGATTACAAGCAGGGAAACCAAAAGGACACGAACAACATATTATGTCATTCGCATATGGCATTTGTTGTTCGATCAAGCTTCCTGAGAGCCAAACAGGAGTTTACCGTCTACCTCTTTCCTCTTCTCATTTTAGAGTCAAACAAAGCAATGACTCTGCAATCTAAACAAGGGCTTGTTCCCTGGAGACATAAGGCTCAAGCACGTCTTTCCTGAGTCGGGTCTCGTGTGAAGCCCTACAAGTCGATCATCCGAGTCCCTGGGACCTCAAGGTTCGAAAAAAGCCCCAGGGTCGGTTCTCTTTGTCAGGATCATTCGAGTCACCTAGATACTATGTTATCAATATCCTGCGCAGCGGAGAGAGGATGACAGGATGTCAAAACCAGCCAAGCCGATGCTAATTGGAAAGGTCCAAGCAGATGATCGCAAGCACAATTCTGTACAATCAAATCACCCGCTCAATGCCAATGCTGCCCCTGGCCGAAGGGGCATATAACTTTTCACACTCGTACCTTAGTCACAGATAATGCGACGCCCAATTCAAGTGTAACGGAGGTTTGATCTCATGAACCGGAGTACTTCCACTACTATCAATGCCAAGTCAACTGTTTGCTCGGTACATCTCCTATTTTTGATGATATCGGTGTCCATTGCAATATGTACCATGCTTCGAAAGGGGTTTACATCATATCGTCATGCCTACCATCCAACGAGCGTCACCGGGTAGAGAGCAGTACATTACCCCAGCGATTGCATCGCATGGCTTCTGTGGTTGATATTGTGCATACCTTTAGGAAAACCCCCGAAGAGGTCTGAGAGGGACTCCACGCCGATCTCAGATGCAAGGCTACACTAGTCCAGGTACGAGGAATGACCACAGCGGCGGGCGAGAACCTGCGCTCAGCACGGCACAGAACTGGCTGGCAACAGTGCAGCGCTTTGCAAGTATGCTTCCGACTTGAACTATCGCTTAATCAGGACTACAAGCATAAAGGCCCATCATTACAACAGAGAATAGCGAGAAGGCGAACCTATACCATGCAAAGTCGACCTTTCAAGATTAAACCAGAAGGGAAAACTAAAAATATGGAGAAATCCGCCACGGGTCACGGAGAGCACTAGCCTTTTGGCCTGCTCGGAAAGAGTGCGAGATCCGTCCGCTATCCAGCAGGGTTTGACGCGGACGGCCTCATACGGCGGTCTAGAATGCCTGTAGGGTTCACGACCGTCCATTATGCCCACGGTGCCGCGGCCTTGGAGCTGCAGAAGTTAGAATTGAGGACAACCCTGTCGTTGCGAAGGCAGACTGCTGCAACACCGTGGAGAGAGTTATTAACTTCCCACCTGCGAGCAGGAAATGGTGATCTGACTTACGGTGATTGAGTCCTTGGCCGGCAGCGAGGACTCCGTGGCCCTCGCCACCCGCGCCCTCCCCTCCGCCGCCCTCCCCTCGCACCTCTGGCACGACCTGGCCAGTACGGCCAGCATTGAAGCCGTGCAGTTGTCAGCACAGGCATCCGTGCTTGCTGTCATCGGCTTGACGAAGACGTCATGAAGAGGGGACACTTCGCCTGGGAGCCGAACATTTGCCATCTGGGATCTGTGGATCCGTGTTAAGGTCAGCGACGTGAACTAAAACCACCAGGCGGCTAGACATTGACATTGACTTATACACAACATTCTGGGTCCTATTCCTTAGCCCATAATGGTGCACAATCCGGAAGCACTTGGAAAGCGAGCAAATGCTCCGTGTTCGGTGAGCTGTGGAAAGGATGCTCGATGATCCGTGACTCAAAAAAAGAGCAATCGTCACCCGAATAAAAGCCTCTTCATCTATAAGAATCTAGATGAGGTTGGCCCTGTCAAGGGGCTTTAAGCGCACCACACATCACAAAGCCATTGGGCTTCAATAAGACACGGCTCTTGACTTCCGCGCATACTGCGAAAGGCGGATTTCGAGTGCACACAACTTGCTTGTCAGAAACCAACCTGACCGCTCTTACCTGGCTCTTCATGGACTATTGTGGAAATTGGACAATCTCGCCGAGATGACTTAGGGTGGATGGATCCCACCCCTTATCTTTTAAACGGTAAACAGACCTGGATCAAGAGCTGTCGACAGGGTCTGTTTTTGAGACCAACGAGAATAAATGTCTTTGCCCTCGGGATGTTTCAGTCTTGCCAGTCCATCCTTTATGCACTAGTGCGATCATTCACCTGGGAAACCTGGAATTGCTTCCAAAATCTCCCAGCAATACGGTGTGCAACCGTCACTGGGTACACGCACGAAGGTCAAATCAATATAATTTGATTGATCATAGCTACGTGTGATCTCATTGACAAATCGGGACCATACTCTTATATTCAGAAAAAGCAACTCGCCGCAATAAGTGGAGCCGCCGATGTCGAAGATGAAGAGCTGGATGACACTGATGATGATGATAAGGAAATTCCCGTCCAGCGCTCTACTTATAGCCCTTCCAACCGAACGCCTCATAGCCGCGGAAGAGAAAACCAACCGCCTCGCCGCCCGTCTCGTCCGTCTTCAAAAGTCCGTGAGAATGCCACCCTCAACCTCCCACACTACCGCTCATCCTTGCGGTGAGAAAATGCATATTTGGAACAGGCTTTGTCATCTTATTCACTCCAGTGCTCCAACAGCATCCATGCTAGAAAGCAAGAGAAGTCTCTGCCTATTTAGCGGGCGATGCTGCTCTCGGCGAAGGGTTAGGGCGCACAACTGCAAACAGCCCGGTCGAGGCTGCAACATCAGATACGAAGGAACCCATCCGAAGAACGGTTGTCGAGGCAGCGAGATGGTTATCTTTACACCTTATACTGCGCAGAGAAATTCAAATCGCACGGCGCCTTTCCGTTGGCGAGAGCATCTACCTGCGAGCAGTCAACCAAAGGTTGAGATTATCGACTCCATGCAAGATGGCGAAGCTACGGTCACCACTGGGAGTATCACAAGCTCTCACGATTAGATATGCGCTGATTAGGGCTTTTGGACGATCATTGATGTAACGTGCGCAGTGTCGGATCGTCTTTTTGATCCAATCGACTCTCGTGTCCGATGGGAGACACCTGAGAGGTAAAACTAAGCCTCCTTTAGTGCGCACACTCCTTCTGCTTGCTAGCTCTTCGTCTTAGGGAATGGCGTTCTCGATCATCTCTCCGAGATGAGTGGTTCCAATAAAGTGTCTGAGGTATGCTTGGCGCGCAGCTGAGGGACCATACGTGAATCAAGGCCGTAGCCTGCTTCGAATGGCCAACGTTCTGTGATTTCATAGTCAATGATGGTCGCACGTACAAGAGGTGACTGGATCATGCGGACAATGTAGCTGAAGGCCCCTCGCTTCCTGTTCCCTGAGCCATCTAGCAACTGGCTGACACTTGGTACAGGTCGAACGCACGTGGAAACAAGATTCAGCGAAGAAGAGTGGAACCCCGGGGCAAAGTCGATTGGTCACTATACTACGGGCTCGCGACTACGTATGGAAGCGCCGTGCTGTGATCGAAGAACGGAAGACAGCATCATGGCTTGGTTGAACATGGTTGTAATCATGATCCCGGCACCCTAAAGACCGTGCAGCTCCGTATCATGGTCATGCGAGCATCTCCGCCCGTAGATGCAGGAAGTGCTAGTCACAGTAGCTCTAGCGGGGATGTTGCAGACAGATGAAACAATTTGTTTCAGCTGAACTGTTGGACCGTAGTGATGAGGGTCAGGCGAAGGAGCAGCGAGGTGCTTCCCATGTTGCAGACGCTTCTGCTGCATCCCTGGAGATGCCATATCCGTAGGCAACTGCCGAAACAGAGGGAGCTTCTCAACCGGATGGAACATTTGGTCACTCAGAACGCGACCTTTTTTCCAATCTCGGGGGTGGATACCGCGACAGCTACACGGGATTCCTTGATCCATACACTCACACGTCGAGGGGAGACATCAAGCAGCGCTTGGCGCAAACCCCCCTCACTCCCTGTACTAGCCAAGAGTTGTTCAAATCTCCGTTGCCCAACAAAGAGTTGGAATTGAAAAGAGCGTCCAGCGCTGTCGCGGAAGCGTCCGACACCCCTCTGCCGCCTGCTGCGACCCCCTTGGAGGTTGCGGAGTGGAAGCTTGCTCAGGAGAGGTCGCGCCACTATGTCAATGAAGAGAACTTGTTGCGAACCATTTGATCTCAACGAGAGACAAATACTCAGCTTGAGAATGTTCTTCGTCGCGTTGCGCAAATCTTTGAATTTTCTGACCCCACCATTCCAACCACTTCGACAGCCCCTGAACAGAAGACGAGAGCGTGTCTGGCCCCATATCTTGTTATTCAACAGCCTGCTCAACCTCCCGCAGCCGCTGACGAACGTGTCTTGGTCGGGCAGAATGGCGAAACGCAAGGGGAGGATGCCTGCGCGCCCAGCACCCAGCACCGTCGGTACTTCTCTTCACAATCAGAGAGATGATTAAATCGGTGCTCCAATTCCAGAATATCCATGATGGCTGCTGCAATAATTTGAGCATGGACAATACAGGTTCCAACATGCGCTTCAACATTAGTCTCAAAATTATCATACGCGCCGTGTAACCGCATCTTTACATGGTGCGGTTCCAGTTCTGCCACAAAATCGACCGTGGAAACGACACCCGAGATTTGAGCAAGCCCGAGCATACTGTTCCGCAAAGAAGGGCCAGAGTTAAACTGCGCTTTCATGTTATATGGTCTTGCTGGGTCAAATTCTATCTCCTGTAGCGTTGCTTGATCCTCCAGCCTTCCCAACATGGGACTCAAAGGACATTCTCTACGTACCAATGAGACTTGTCGGCCGAATCTATGACGCGCTGTATTACACAGACTGATCAAGAAGACTCTGATAACTGTCATCAAGTTATCAAAGGGCCAGAACAACACCCGCCGCCCGCCGAGGCCTTTGATACTATGAAAGCCTGGACAGTCGAAAGCAGAACCAACTAGCATTCGATGTAATCCGAAGACCAGCACGAAATATCCACTGAGAAGGTGGGCGACGTTCAAGGGGAAGGTCCAGTGGCTCACGAAGGCGTCCGGGGCCGGAATTTGGGCAAAGCGGCATGGCGAGGGGTGGCAGAGTTACAGTACATGCTCGAATCAGTGCCACAGAAACTGAGTATATGCAGAAGGTCAAACAGCATATCGCACAGTTCTAAGCATTCTGACGGCGGCGCTTGGCCTTTAGCGCTGCATGTGTACTATGGAGAAACACGAAGCCGGAAGGATATCAGACAGATTGATGGTAAGCTGACAGCTGACCATGAAATCTTTGCTGAACAAGGGTGACATCCAACAGCTGTGTTGAGCAGTTACAACACATTTGAGAGTCGCCATGGTGTTTCAGGAGTCAAAGCCTGGTATATGCACAAATACAAAAGCAAGTTTAAGGGTGGAGAAAATTGCCCAAAGGACTATCCCAACAACACTGGAGGTTGTTTCGGCCTCATTATTCTGGATGAGGCCCATAACCTGCGCAATAAGACGTCGGGAATATCCCAGGCTGTGTGGTGGGCCAGAGGCGACTTTAATCTTCTACTTACTACGACGCCGGTTGCTCGCTCAGTGCCCACCGGTAGCCTTAGCTAGTTCTCGCAGATACGTGAGCCGGAGATAGTCAGAATCCAAGCATCTTTCGCATCTCTCAGAGGCGTCATCATATTCTATTGCACCCCCGCCACATTTGCCTGAAACGGCGGGTGCCGACCAAAAGACAACGGCCTGGCTGGAACACATGCAGCGTCAGAGCGAAAAGGACCGTGAAGTACGCCCATCACCGAAGCCCCTTACCAAGAATTGAACCACTATTCCACCACCACCGTCAGACTCGGAGAACATACGTGAGAGAGTACACAGAGCTCCAGAACGTCCAGAGTCTGAGCCTACCAGCGAGCCTTCACCATCGACTAGTACACGAGACCCTGAAAGCCCTATGGCTCCGCCACACAAGCGCAAATCAGTCCAATCTAGGGAAGCCTTCTTGAACATGTTCAAGGGCAAGACCGTCGACGAGGATCCTTGGATAGTTCCTCATAGAACACATAGACAATCAATCTTAATTCGCACCCTACAAAGAGCGTTGCATTCTAGGCGCAATAGACTCGGAAGAGAACTACTTGCTGTATCAGACCTTATGGCAAGAAACGTCAAGACCTTCTGGACTTTACTGGTAGTTTCTTCCTCCCATGGTAGGTGCTCACAGAATCGTAGGCCGGTGACGTGGCATCGTCAGACCAATGAATACTTGGCTCAAAGTCCTCCTGACTCTCGATGTGCAAACGCTGGTGGCGTTTGATAGGGGGGCAGCGGGCCTACTGAGAAACGGGCTGGTCGTTTGCACAAGGCGGGAGAAAACGGCTAGATACACCTAGCAGGCTGTACATGATACATCTAGCAGCAGAGCAGTATGACCTCTGCAAATAAAGCTACAGCGTGCCAGTCAATGCCACCATTGTTACCCCATCCCAGAAACAGCGACTTTTTATTTAGATCCTGACAGCACGAATCCCCCAGCCCCAACCACCAAATTGGAACCTCTCGTTACCATCCATGAAGACAGGCTCGGCATCAGCAATCACACCATGAGTGAAGGCTCGCCCAATTTTAGATATGCGCATCCCGAGCTATACTGGCCCGTGGACCTGCCCCACCTGCGCGGAATGGCGCAGCCATACAACAAGCAGGAGATCGCCAGGGCGCGGCAATACATCATCGCTGCCCTAGCCTCCCGCGGGATTCCGTATCGGTTCGAGGTGAACGACAAATGGTCCCGAGCCGTCTGGCTCCGGATGGAGTGTAGTCGGGGCGAGTTGCTCGCTGCGGTATCTGCCCTTCCCAGGTAAGAAAACTCTCCTTATTCTCCGAAGTGTCAAACTTCCCAAAAGGGACATGATAGCTTTCCTTTCCGGAGGAACCACAACATATCAATACCTTGAATCATGTTGCCCTACCACCCGCAAGACTAACCAGGAAAATGCACCAGCGTCATCCGCCCCGGCACCACCGACCAAGATGACCCCAACCCTTTCCGCGCAGACCTCTTCGTGATCATCTCCACGGACCAGCGACTGGTGGAGATCCACTGCCACTGCGAAAGCATGGCGTGGTCTGATGAGCTCAGCCCCTTCCAGCGGGAGCTGTGGCTCGATGTCACGAGGTTCGGGGACGAAGTCGCGCAGTGGGATCTGCGAGGCCCTTTTCCCACAGCCTTGTTGGACCGGTATGAGAGGCTGGTCCGGTACGCGGAGATCCGGGCGAACGAGGTGCACGCGGTGCGTACGCGGCTGGACCGCCGGGGGACGATGGCCCTGGTGGACGTGTACGAGGTTTTCCACCCGGTGCGGACTCACGAGGATTGGAACCGCGTGCAGAGGCTGAGGCATACCTATGGGGCGTGGAGGGAGGAGCAGTTGTATCATTCGAGGTTTTGCTGAGTGGGAACAGGGTTGGCGGAGGGATCCTGGGTGAGGTTGTAGGGCTTGGTGGGTGGTTCGGCTTGCGGGATATGGGATATGATATCGAGATATGGCATGTAACGCTCCCTAGTATCCTCGCCTTCGTACATCGTGCTCTTGGCCTCTAGATTCTCATTGCAGACTGACAGTAAAGAACTCATCCCCTAGATGCAACAAAGAATGTCATGTGATGTGACATCAACCACCTGCTCTGTGGCCTAGGGCCGTACCGCCCTAGCGTTTCCAAGAAAGTCTAGCCCCGCTACGGCGAGAATGGAAGCCGTCCACTTGTATACCAGTTATGCGGCAGCTGCTGAGGGTGATCTTCTCGAAGATGTCTTGACCTTGTGGTATCAGCGTTTGGGAACGTTGAGACGGTCGAGGTGGGCATTTTGTTTGAATGGATCAGCGCTAATCACGCGGAGATCGGTTACTATGGTGGGAGTGCTGAATTGCAATGAAGGCGTGCCTACTTTCTTACATAAGAATGTAGGGCAGTAGAAGCGAATAGAACTATGTTGGTTGATGGCTTTATCGGTGATGGCTGTTTTTGCATGTCCTGGATGTACTATACAGTCCGGGTGCTAACTAACTTACGTACCCTGTTACGTATTTGGTAAACGAGCCGGCCACCGGCCGGCTTGGCATACTGCATATATCAGAATTCTGATTTATATTAGCCACCAATTCGAATATTTATATAGCCGTATAAAGGCCCGAAATTAAAGTGTCCTTGGTAGAACATCTCGTAGATATATATCTCAGGATCTTATAAGTGCTGGCTGCTTTTTCTGCAATCTGGATATTCGCAAAAGTCTTGTAGCCTTTCTGAAAACAAAGCCTATTGAGGCTGTTTATCAGAGCGTGTTTCTTTGCAAAAAAAACAATTTTCCTTAAGTATTCTTAAAGAGTTGAACCCGGTACAGCTAAAACCGACGCAGCTTTAAATTAGAAGGAATTTGGCCTTTTAAGATAGACTTAATTCAAGATATAGTCTGTCTTTTTGTTGATCAACTTGTTGTATAATTTAGGCATTTTTGGTGGAGAAATTGAAGGTTGAATATACGCAGTCTCTTGGATGTGGTGGTGGTTGATGGGGTGGCCGGTTCGCTTACATGGCCGGCTCGTTGACATGACCGGTTGGTTTGCCAAATACATTATATATCTCGATAACGTATAATACAAGTACCGTTCAAACTCAGCTAATAGCCATATAGACAGCCTGAGATTCTGGTTATAACTTTTACCCCCGAAGAACATGGTTAATGTCATGTTGATTCTTTCCCCGTGATGGCGTGATGTTCCTGCTTACTGAGAAGCTTAACCCTTAGGGGTGGCGATTATCAATCGCCCCCGCGCTTGATTATCACGCCTAATCCGGGGTCCGACTGGAGATAAGTGCTGGAATTAAGTCCGAGAGTCCGAATAGTGTAGAGTTCGATACATAGCCACTGCTCTATACATGGCATATAAGAATCAGTCATTGCACGACACTCCCGCGGCATATCAATCCAACCAAGCATCACAATCCTACACCAACACCCTCAACCTTCAACAATCCCACAGTACCCAAATCCACCCCCAACAAACACAATGTCGCAACCCGGATCCCAAACCGGAACCCAAACCGCCCTCCTCGCCACCGCAATCGGCCAACCCCTCACCAAAGCCACGCGGCCCATCCCCCACCCCAACGCCAACCAAGTCCAGATCAAAGTCAGCGTGGCCGGGCTCAACCCCCACGACGCCAAATCCCGGGACCACGGGCTCTTCATCCAAGACGCCCTGCCGGCCGTGCTGGCGGCCGACGTCGTCGGCGTCGTGACGCAGCTCGGCCCCGGGGTCACCCGCTTCCAGCCGGGCGACCACGTCGTCGGCCAGGCCGCGCTGGTCCTCCCGCACGGCCACCCCGCCAACCTCCGCTTCTCCGAGTCCAACAACGACACCCAGGGGCTGCAGGAGTACGCCTTGCTGGACGAGCGGTACGCGGCCCCGGTGCCTGCGGGATTCCCGGACGCGCAGCTGGCCACCGTCCCCACGAATCTTGTGACGGCCGCCGTGGCGCTGTTCGATGCGTCGGGGCTGGGGATTCCGTCGCCTTGGTGGGACGAGGACTCGGCTGCGGCGGCGGGGAGCTTTGATTATGCAGGGACGTCACTGCTGATTCTGGGTGGGGGGTCGAATACGGGGAGGTTTGCGGTTCAGCTTGCGGCGCTGGCGCGGATCGGGCGCATTGTGGTGGTGGCGGGGGCTCGGAGTGCGGAGGAGGCCACGCGGTTGGGCGCGACGCATGTTGTGGATCGCACGGGGAAGTCGGGACTGGAGATTGCGGCGGAGGTGCGTGCCATCGTCGGCGATGGGTTGCTCTATGCGCTGGATACGATCAATCCGCCTGAGAGTCAGTGGATCGGGGTCGAGGCGTTGTCGAATTCCAAGACTGGGAAACTGGCAAGGCTGATTCCGAGGGGGGTGGTTGATGAGTCCAAACTGTCGACGAAGAAGGGGGCGGGCTTTGAGACGGTTAATGTTATGGGGGTGTCGACGGCTAGACCGGCGACTGCGGGGCCCTTGTGGAATAGGGTGGCCGGCTGGGTGGCGGAGGGGAAGATCAAGCCTACCGCGTATCAGGTGCTTCGGGGGCTGGATGTGGATGCGGTCAATAAGGTGCTGGATGGGTATTCCAGCGGCGCGGAGACGGGGCATTGGCAGGTGCATCTGTAAATGCGAGCGAATGATGGAGTTGGGGTGGTGGGTTCTATGCGAGATGTACTGCAGCTTTGGTCTTTGTCGGGTTGATTGACTTTCGATTTCTTATGAATGTGCTGAGAATATTGGTAATGGAAGGATGATTCGCAACCCGAAATAGGAAGTAACTGTTTAGCGTACTTAATGGTTGATTTGTATCGGGATACGAAACTTGGTATCCTTCCATTTGGATGTGAGGTATGTAGTTAGCCCTAACGACTTGAACCCGATCAATCTGCACAAATATTCCTACAATTGCCTTTGCGTGGAGCATGCTCACTTCTCCACCCAGAGATGGTAACCGTGCACAGTACATCAGCTATGATCCATGTCTATAATTGCCTTTGTGTCATTAGAACTCTCTTCAAAATGAAATCCCAGACCACTAGTAGCAGCGCATACTATGCTACAAATCTGCTGGAGCCGTCAGCAACCCTCTTGCCAAGAAATGTGTCTCAGGCAGCATCGACGGCCAGGCTACCATGCGCGAGGGCGGTTGCGTTGCCTGTTGCTGCTGCCTGCGCTGCCCTGGTACTTTGTCACACGCCGAATGCAGAGTGGATGTGCCAGAGAAGTGCATCCGCGGACCGGGAGCCAAGCAGCGTCTCGTATTGCCCCGCCACTGATGCAAACACCGATCGAGCGGGGATGACAGACAACCTTAATTATACGGCGTCTCCCATCCAACATCATCACCGTTGACCTGTCCCACTCCAACACTTTATTATTGCATAATACCTCAATCCCCCCCTTCTCACAATCGACAATCAAAGCCATGGCAATCGACCACACAAGCCTCTACGTCCCCGAAGCCCAATTCCAGGCCTGCCTGGCCTTCTACCTGGCCGCCCTCAAGCCACTGGGCTACGAGGTCCGCTACCAATTCGGCGAGCTCATCGTGGGGCTCGGCTCGGTTCACGACGACATCGGCAGCTACCGCAAAGCCGACTTCTGGGTCTTAGGGTCCCAGACCGTCTCCGAGCGTGCGGCGCATATTGCATTCACTTGTCACGGTATAGCCTCCCGCGTCTTCGTTGCCGGTAAAGAAAGGGGGGGGTTAGGTGTGCTAATGAGTCGTGTATGGACAGACCACGCGACCGTGGACGCGTTCCACGCCGCCGGAGTCCAGGCCGGGGGCACGGACAACGGCGCCCCCGGATTGCGGCCGGATTACCATGCCACGTACTATGGGGCTTTCGTGTTGGATCCCGCGGGGAATAACATCGAGGCGGTGGATCATGGACTTCGCTGAGTGGAATCCCCTGGAGGGGATGGCGGTTGGTGGGGATGCCGCTTTACTGGGTGTATGGTGTTGGATGTCTATTTTACCTTGCTATTACTCAATTGATTTGCTATTTCAAGTTGCTTCTATGTCTCGCAGCCTCAGAATGCGACATGGGACATGTCGATGCAAGGGGGAGGGTTCGCGCTTTAGCTGCCGGTGCTTCTCTCCAGTCGTCGCGAGCTAACCATGTCAGAGTCGATGAATTGGTGCAGTTAGCATCGGCACTCTGGCATCAGGCTATGCTAGAGTAAGGGTCTTTGGCAAGCCACATGCCCGGTACCCAATGCCCGTAAAATCATTCCAAGACAAGCAGAATCGGGGTAGTGCGTTATATAATAGTGAATACTTAGCCGTCTGAAAGTTATCCGCTAGGTTTTACCTGAAACTTGAAAGATGGATATTGAGTAGCAGTGGTGTATACACTTCCAACAGGTGCTCGGCAGTAGTTGTTTGTAGGTAGTATTACATCTATACGAGGGACAGTAGTATTCCGTTAAGAGTTTCCCCGTCAGCAAAAGCTCTAGCGGTTAGGGTAGCCAGACCCATCCTGCTTATCTGCTGTTATCTGCTGCTGAGGGTACATATTACAGTTGCTGTCCATGTTGCTGACCATGTTGCCGTCCATGTACAGTGGAGCTTGGTTCAGAAGTGCCGCGCCAAATCTTCGAAACAGTCGAATGCCTGCCTGCCGGTGCTTGGTGGCCCGTTCTCATATTGAGACCTTTACTAGAATTGCGAAGACGCTATTGCTGCCGCGTGAGGTATCCTCTTGTTTCCTATGTTATTGCCTTGAGGTGTTGTATTTGCTTCTAGCTTGTATGAAGGGCAGTATGCTGCAGCAGTTGACCACTTGAATTTCTTTCTGCTGAGGGCGCCGCTGTTCGGTGGATGGATTTTTGGAGCATGTGCGATGGTGGCTTGGAGGATGTTGAATCCGAGTGACTGTAGAACACGAGACCAGTGGTCAATTCATCACATCTGATTGGGCCTCAAATCGAACACAATCCCACAGGCCAAAAGAGGGTAAAATGTGCAAAAGAAAAAAAAAGTAAAGCCCAACGCGGGGGTTGAACCCGCAACCTTGAGATTAAGAGTCTCACGCTCTGCCGATTGAGCTAGCCGGGCTGACTTGTTGAAATGCTTTGGTAACATAGCCTAATGAACAAGAAAATGATGCTGCAGAACAAAACTTCTCCTTTCCGGTTCCCTTCGCTCCCGGGCCTTAGTTAGACAATTGTGATCTCAGGAGGATGATGGTTCCTGCTGCATTGCTGCGTTACAAGGATGCTGAGAACAACTCTCGGAAACGTGCTTATATAAGCTCATCGCTTGCTGGATAACAGGTAGTAAGTGATGGTCATCACACAATAGAAAGGTGTGGTGGATCAACATGGTATAGGATATATATAGGAATTTTCACATCACAAGTTCGCTACCCAAATCCTCACTTAGAATAATTCCTTATGCTCACGAAGTTTTTATGCATGGTCTCCCACTCAGCCCAAGCACTGTAGATCTTATTTACATTCTAGATTTAGGAGCTCGATACATATCCAATGGTAGAAGCCAAGAGTCTACCTCGAACCACCCCCCAACTCCGCCAAACACCTCAACCTCGCCTTCTCCAAGCACAGACCCGCTAATTCCCGCACCGAGGGGACTATTCATAGTCTCAAACAGACTCAGTGGCGCGTTCTTATTTTGGAACCGGTGCTGGCGAATCCAAGGGTGGTCGTCAGCGCGCAGCAAGACGCGCCACTGCGGCTCCAGATCATTGCCTTCGGCCAGATGAAGGCCGATCAGGGCATGCCGGGGAGCCTGGGGTCGGAGGACGTTTTCAGCAACTCGCGACTTGCGCCCGAACCGCTTTGAGTGGTCCCAGGAGTAGGGCGGGAGGTCTGGAAGGGTGTCCGGCAGATTCGCCATCGAAGGCGCTCTGTGGTTCACGGCACCAACATCGATTGGCACTCCTCGGGAGAATAAAGAAACAGCAAGATCGTGCACCGTTTCCTAGGCGTCTTGCCGGCGACGGAGCGTAGGGAAGTACTCGACCTTGCTGCCATCACTCAAACTTTGAAGGATATCCTTGACCGGCCCCTCAAGAGTTGCAGAAGGACCGACCTCAATTAGGCAACTTATCTGTGGTTGGGAGGTGCCCTCACTTAGCAGCGAAAAGAGCCCGTCCGAAAATTTTCGTCGGCGAGACAAAGCTTTCGAGCCAGTACTGGTACTGCAACTCTAAGCCATCCGGTCTACAGCTGCGCGTCGAGGAATAAAATGCCGTGGTGGACTCCGAGGGCTTGAGATTGGTGATCCGACGCTCATACTCGGAAGCGACGAGTTCCATCTGAAACCCAGCGGTCAACGGCTCCGCCTCAGCAATATGTTTAGAGCACACGGGGCCACCAACTTAATTTTTGCCGTCCAACTATCTCAGACTCATCTCTACCCATGCATGATATCATGGCGAGTGATGCTATTGCACCCCAGGAAACAACGGCCCCCCTTAAGAAAAAGCTACAAATGATCCAACAGCTGCAGATACCGCACACACGGCCACGCCGCCGACCCCTCGATAGCGCGCAGCTCCGCCGCCAGTGCCTCGTTCCGCACCAACACCACACAATGGGCGCGCTCCACCCCGTCGCTCCCGCGGTACCCGATCCGCGCCGCGGCGGGGCGGAGTCCGCTATCGCTCCTGCCGTCCCCCATGCCCATCTCAAACCTCACCGCCTCCAACACCCCCTCCTCCCCGGCACGATACCGGACCAACAACTCCACCTTCATGACCTCCTCGATCAGATCCGCATTGAACGCGGCGCCCATGAACGCCTCCTGGGCGTCCCAGCCGCGCAGGGCGGCGATGCCGCGACACCGCAGCCCGAAGTCCGGACAGCGCATGGTGGCGACGCACAGGGCGGGGACGATCTCCGGGCGGGCGGTGACGGCGGGGCGAAGACCCGCGGTGTTTGCCGACTCGGTCACCGCCGGAAAGCGGGCGATGGCCGCCTCGGCGGCGGTGAGGACGGCGAGGAAGTCCGGGAGGAGGCGGGGGGGCAGCGGGCGCTCCTTGCTGAAGAGGGCGATCTTGATGGCGAGGAGGGAGTAGAGGCAGGACAGGCGCGTGATGTGGGCTTCGCGGGTGAGTTTTTCGTGGTGTTCCGCTGTAATCGTAATCGGGGGGTGGAGGGTGCGGTGGCAGAACTCGTGGAAGAGGTGGAGGTAGCGGGTGAAGTAGGCGAGGAGGCGGTGCTGACGGTGGTGCAGGGCGGCGTAGCGGGCGGCGATCTCGGCGTCGCGGAGGTACCAGCTCTCGGCGACGAAGAGGGCCATCGTGTCGAGCAGCGGGGTCAGGATCTGGCGGGCGTGGCCCCAGTCCCGGAAGGCCTGGGCCCCGTGCAGGTAGAGGTCGTGGTAGGGTTGGTGGTAGACGAGCTCCGTGTCGAAGTGCAGCGGATCCTGCGTCCCGTAGAAGATGGCGCACATCTGCAGCCCCAGGAACGCGTCCACCACGCATTCCTCCACCCGGTACGGGTTGGGCCCGTCGGCCACGATGAAGGTCAGCCCTCCGCTGCTGCTGCCCTGGCGGCGCACGTTCATCCCCCGCAGGATGTGCAGCCCGCATTGGAGGTGGAAAGTCGCCCGGCTCGGGTTTTGGTGCAGCAGCTCGCACATCACGAACAGCAGGCAGCACGCCAGGATCACCCGTTGGAAGTGCGGGTCGGCCGACTGTCGTCGCTCGTTGAGCTTGCTGATCGCCCGGCTGGCTTGTTCCACGGCGAACAAGTACCATTGGCCCTGGTCACGGTGCCCGCGTTTCTGTTGCTGGTGCTGTTGCTGGTGCTGCGGTACGGCAACCAGTCGCTGCCGCCGTCCGCCCTCGATCTCATACGCCTGGTTCACGGCGCCCAATGCGATCACCGCGTGGAAGACGGCGGGCTCGTGGTGGCAGAGCTGTAGAATCAGGCGCTGCCAGAGCGGCGAGTCAAAGAAGGCCACCAGATGGGGCACCGAACGGTGCTGGAAGAACGACAGGCACCGTCGCTCGTCCGAGGTCATCTTCCACGGCAGCGAGATCTGGGCCGCCGGCGCAACGACGCGGCCGACGCGCGCGCGCTCGGGAATCCGGTGCAGATCATACTCGCACTGCCGTCCGGTCCGCGTGCAGTTGCCGCACGCCCCCGGCATTTCATCGCATTTGACTCGGCGAGCTCTGTTTGATGAGGCTTAGCGTTGAGCATGTACCATAGTGCATGTACTGTACGTACCGGCAGGTTCGGCACCCGTTGCGGGACCGTCGCGAGAATGATTTCTTACGCGTGGGCCACGGTGAACTTGTCCAGGTCAGGTTCTGCGTTTGAGGTGCTGGTTCCATTGTAAGGGAAATCGCTGTTGCAGTGTGTTGACATCCACCCATGGAGAGGACAGGATGAATCTTATTGGCGATGTCGTCGAATGGCCTTTGCACGAGGGTGGAGGACCGAGAGGTTGAGACTAAGCGGCGTAAGCTAGCCCCAACAGGATTTGACACCGGTGTTGCAGGCAGGTGGGCTTGGGCATTGGAACGCGATGTTGGAGTGGGCTTGGTAAGAAGGTCGCAGGTCACTAATATCCATACTAACTACTTAGTGCTGACGTTCTATGTGGTAGTTACCCTGCTACTTGATACTAAGGCAGCAAGGCTAGACAATCGGAACAATTGTGTTCGTGACTCGGAGTAATGTGGGCCAAATGAGGAGTTATCCCTGTCCACCATAATCTCTGGAAACCCTATCACTCGAGCGAACGTAGTTGAGACTCTGATCGAACATGCGTGCACTGAAGGGTCGTGCGGAAGCTGTGTTTGTAATTCAACCTAGGTTTAAAGTAGTCAAGGGCAAACTCCCGTTAACCCTAGGTGAGCGCCGTCCCCGCCCGGACAGACCCTCAACACTACACCTCATGATCACAGATTAGATGGATGCTCTTGGACAGCATGATCATCTCATTCCCTGCGAGATTGGATTTCTGCTCGCGATTAGGGCGTCAGTTGGTGCACTTCTATCATGTCAAACCCCATTGTCGAGAGAAGCCCTCGGCGGGTCTCTATAATCTTCCGTAGGCTACGAATTTGATTCGCAGTCGGAACCTCCACAAGGATAGAATTGGCAGCGAATTTCCTTGAGAAGGCAAAATATAGTTCTATAGTCGGGTGTCGCAGTGATTCATAATGAAGCACCGTAGGAGATGCTGTAGGATGGATTCTAGGGGTCCAGGGCAAGTGCCAGTGCATGATTCGTGGCCCAGCCAAGTGGATACCACATAGAAGCTAGTATTCCGATTGGCTACGTCGCCTACTATAAACAACCGTATAGGTTGGTCCCTTCACACTCACTTTAGCGCGGCGTTTCAATGCTTATCAATCCAACTGCTTAGAAATCTACCTTGATAGAGTTATCTAAAGCTTCTCATCAGAACAATATGTACAACATTCACGACAATCGAGTCATCCCATTGGTCAGCTAGTCCACGCGGCGCATTGCTTCTACCGGAGTCTCCTGTTCCTGTCACTACTTGGCCTCGATACGCAGCAAAAGGACTACATCAACTGCTAACGCAGCGGTTCGCTCTGAGGTATATAAGTATCCTTCTTCTCCCATTCTACCTATCCCTTTCTCCTATCTCCATGAACTATCAGCCCAGTCACCAGACTCAATCGCATCCAGAGACCTTCCTCTCCCCTTCACCAACTTTCAATTCTTAAGACCATCCACCCATAATGACAACCACCGTCCTGATCACCGGCGCCAACCGCGGCCTCGGCCAGGGCCTCCTCAAGCTCTTCCTCCAGAAACCCAACCACGTTCGTCCTCGCCCCTTCACCCCCTTGATCCGCAGCAGTCCGCAACCCCAACCACCCCACCGCCCAAGCCCTCCCCACCCTCCCACGGGACCCGACCACCCACCTCATCATAACCCCCTACGACGCCAGCCTCGACTCCTCCGCCCAAACCGCCGTCCAGAACCTCACGCGCGCACACGGGATCACCCACCTCGACATCGTGGTCGCCAACGCAGGCATCGCCAAATCCTACCCGCTCGTCAAGGACGTCCAACTGCCCGAAATCCGCGAGCATGTCAAGACCAACGTCCTGAGCGTGGTGGCGCTCTACCAGGCCACGCGGGAGTTACTGGAAAAGTCCACGTCCACGTCCACGTCCACGTCCACGTCCAAGCCGGTGTTTGCGATCATGGGGTCTGGGGCTGGGGCTTTGGGGTACGTTACTCTCTTTTCTCATGCAGAGGGCTAGGAAGGTGGATTGACTGACCGCGGTGTAGCCGCCAGCCGCCCGTGCCCAGCGCCATGTACGGCGCCTCCAAGGCGATGGTGAACTGGTACGGGGTGCGCATCAACGCCGAGGACGCGTGGCTCAACGCCTTCGTGCTGGATCCGGGCTGGGTGCAGACGGATATGGGCAATGCGGCGGCGCAGGGGTGGGGGATGGAGGCCGCGCCGACGAGCGTTGAGGAGTCGGTGGGGGGGATGTTGGAGGTTCTGACCACTGGGACGAAGGAGCGGGTGGGTGGGAAGGTGGTGCTGTATACTGGCGAGGTGCAGGAGTGGTAGCTGTGGTTTGACTGGTTGGAAGGGTCGCGTGGCATGTTAGGGCTTTGTTTCTTCTTTCTGTGTGTTTTTGTATTTCTGGGGGGGTCAGGATGGTAGGGTCGAGCGTGAGTACGCTGAGTGGGTAGGGAATTGTTTTCTCAATGCATCAGATTGGAGAATAGATATTGCCTGCAAGACAGACACTAACACAAAGAAAGAAAAGGTAGGACAATATTTCCCCGGTCGGAGACTTAGCACACGTTCTAAGTCAGGCGGGGGATATAGTAAGTGACTGAGCTAGAGCTGACCCGGAACCATAGTTTGAATGTAAGTCCTAAGAGACCCAACGCCGTGATGGGCTGCCGTAGCGCGGCACTACTGAATGGCCCTGTCTGTCGCGCGTCGGTCGGCAAATTTCCTGTCGTATAACTGGCGTTGCTGTTTCCGCCTGGATGAGCTCGAGTTTATAGTCAATGGGGCTGTGCTTATTCAACTCTGCAGTCTGTGGCATACACGATATAAGTCTGTCCCTTAGTATCGTCCGGCGCCTGAGGCCGCCAACCGACTCAGGCCATCCAGCACGTCTTTGCGCGTCTTCTCGTCGCCGGATTCGACCAGCCTGCGGACTTCTTGGGCTAACGCTTCCAAGTTAAATCTGTTCGATGAATGATCATGCGATAGGCTCTGAGAAAGAATCATGAAACAGACGACAACGAAGACGGCAGGGCGAAGGCAACTTTTAAACGGACAAACAGACAATCTGGACGCTAAATTCTGACATGAGGCTGGAGCTGAAGTTGAGGCCGAGCCTGGCTGAACCTGGCTGAACCTGGAGCTAAAGTCTGACCAGCGATGCTGGAATCCCTGATAGCGACCAACCAAGTTGCCGCGAGTTCTCCAAACTCCACTGAGGGTCTGTATTAGTGCTGCCTCCGCTTCGCCTTCCGCCCACGGCGTGGCGTGAGACCTGCGATAAGCACATGAATTGGCTGCGCCTGCGGAGAGACCCGAAAGACTCGAACTAAACCGGAATAAGTACTTCGAGATGCCATTCTAAATGAAGTTGACCGCTAAGCATTCAACCTCTACTACAGATTCCCACTTAGAAGGACATCTACCGCGAAGACCCCTCTCAAGATACCCGCAGCACAAAAATAACCCCAACACCCCCGCGTACCAACCCTAATCCCCTACCCCTAATCTTTCCACTAAGCCCACACCCCCAAAATCCTCTCCATGAACCCAGTCTCCCCCGGATTTTCCTGCCGCCACGCGTGGACAAACACCTGCCGTCCATAGTACGACAGCCGCCCATGAATGGCGCGCACCTCGTCCGGCCGCGCCAGAATGTACCGGACCACCCGCTCGTACAGCAGGTTGAACCACGGGTGGTGGACGCCGTACCGGACGCACCGCACGAAGTAGAAGTGGTAGCAGGCGACGCCCGCGGCGACCTCGGCCTGGAACGGCGTGGGCGGGTCGTGCTGCTGCCCCTCACAGTAGCATTTGATCAGGACCAGTTGCTGTTGCCGGGGACGGGGCCGTGAGTCGGGCGCGGTGATGAAAAAGAGCTCGAGTTCGGCGGGCCGTTTGGGGAGGAGGCGGGGGGTGCGGAATCTATGGGATGAGGGGTTGGAGGATGGTCGGTTAGCTCTTGCAGTTTTTATGGGAAATGGAACTTTTTTCTTGGGAGTGGGCGGACAAAACTTACGTGTCTGAATCCTCAAAAGCCTTCAGAAACTGATCCCGGTCGCATTCGATCCACAGCTCGAGTGAGGTGAAGCCGTAGCCGAGTCGGAATATGATTCGGTTCGCAACGAGAGTGTCGGCGATGCTGTCGATGGCTTCGTCGAGCTCCTTGGCCCAGGCCCCGGTGGATTGCTGGTGGAGCTGGGGCACTTCCCATGGCTCATACTTCATGGTGCGTGTGTATTTTCTTAAAGAATGTATAGCTTGGGCTAGCTTGGGGAGTTGCAAAGCAAAAAGATAGCGTCTTACGAAGGGGCATCTGACAGCATCAGAGTCATGGGGATTCGTGAGGTCGACCTGCCTCTGTTCGGAGCTTCGTGGATTGTCGTGCCTCCGCAGAAATTGCTACCTCACGCCTCGTACAAACGACTGCTCACATTGCAGAGGGTGATGACTTCTGCTGCAAACACCACCACGCCCCCCTCATCGTACCATCCGACTCGATCGACAGCGCCGTTTGTTCATCGGGAGGTCGCATACTCCCGTGACTTGACACGGACTGTGGGAATCGACTGGTTCAGCAGCGTACATGGACTCAGGCAAGTAGCCACGTCGCCCTTGACTCATTTTGATGTCTCAGGCTACGTGTGTTGTCTCAACATGGTTGATCCTTGGAGAAGGTGAGGAGGCGAGAAGGGTCAAAAGATTGTAGGGTGCGTGAGGGTCACATGACCCTGTTTGGCCCTGTCACTGGCCTAGATATTCAGATTTGAACGGATAATCAGACGCCCATCTATTGAGTGGGGTCAATTTGAGGGTATTGGACAAGCTTGAGTGGAAGACCGGCTTTCCATTTTGTAAGAGAGGGCAGTTTCCAGAACCAAATAATGCTATCGTGGATTGTTGACGGCTGAGCGCCGGTTGTTAGCTAGTCCGAAAAAGAGGTCGGCTTTTGTGCTCTAACTCTCACAGTCCTATACAGGTCCGAGACGCTTGGTACATATAGTCACAGGTGTGACAACGTGCGGTACAGGCCATGCCTCGCTCTGTCAGTCAGTCCTGTGACCACGTAACCCGCCCGTCCACCCAGGCTGGATCGGACCATAGCGGAAGTAGGCTTGGCGCAGACGGCGTCGGATCGCATCGACAACCGGAAAGTGTAAAATCGGAAGTATTGACAAAGTTCAAAGCAATATCTATAGTTACAGATGCACCACTATACCAGTGACATCTGTCCAACAAAGTATTATACAAAATCATGCAAGTATATGCAGCAGCCAAACCAAAATATACAACTCCTACCCACTCATGCATTATTCGCACAGGAGAAACTCGAGCTATTGGCGTCTTCGTGTAACGAGCGTCCCGAGACGTATAGTCCAAGACCACACTATGAATCATAATTAATGTACAGTCGGGAGGAAAGGTCAAGCAGCACTTACCACACAAGCGGCGATACCCACGATCAACGCATTGAGAATGGTCAACGCGATCTTTCTCGGGGAGGAGAAAAGTCGGTCTTTGTTGAGGTACAGCCAGAACATGCCGCTGAAACCAACTATGGGTTGGTTAGTATTGGTTGTGTGGGGTGAGGGTGAAGTAGGTATGCTTACAAGTAAACCAACTGGCGAAAAGGGAGGCCTGGAAATATCAGTTAGCAAGGAACCTGTCGACCTTAAAAGGTATGAACCTACAATCAAACTCAGGAGATCGTTGAAGACAGGAATGGCCTCGGCGATAATCCATGCCACGATCCACAGGACCAGCATGAGGACCACCCAGGAGCCGGTGGCCACGAGATCGCGGCTGTGCATGCGGTCGCTGTTGCGGAAAATCCGCACGTACACGAATTTGCAGGCGACGTGGCCGTTTACGACTCCACCGATGATGATCTAGAGTACGTTAGCTTCAGCTCAAGAGTCTTAGAAGAGCGACTGCGACTCACTGTCGGCAGAGCAATGCCATAGGCGATCTTAGCGATCATCGGGCCGGCTGAGCCGAGCGCCGGGGAGGTGACGTTGGGTCCGGCAAAGACGTAGATCACCACAGCGGTGACGATGTAGAGAACCGTATCGATGCCCTGCAGCAGACACAGCGATTTAGGATAATCGCGCGGATCCTTGAGTTCGGACATGAAACCGAAGAAAGCCACATGGCCCGCTGTTGGGTTGTAAGCGAAAGTCTTCATGAGAATAGTGTCAAGACATACAGAAAGAGAAGACAATGTTGCACACGGCCAGGAAAGCCTTGTACAGACTGGTGTCCACGGTGACTTCGAGCGCACCCTTGTAGGGACGCTGGATACCAACAGCGATCATGACGATCATGACAGCAGAGAAGACGCTGATGAATGCTGTCCAAGTGTCAGCACATGATAATCAAAATGGCAGTCGAAAACTTACAAGCCACCGAAAGATAGGAAACATTGGCTGAGGTTCGGGGCAGAGCCAAGAAGAAAGAGATGACCACGCCGACAACACCAAACACGATCGTGCACGTGCCGTGCTCGGTGATCGTGTTCATGGCCACGGTGAAGGTCAAGATATGGCTGGCCATGATGAAGACAACGAGGAGCAGTTGGCCGGTGCCGAAGAACTCACGGCCGAAACTGCCGAAAAGAACCTCGCCGGCATCGGCCATGTTCTGGATGTGCGGGTAGGCCCATCTGAACTGGCCGATGGTGTAGCCGGTGTAGGTGGCCAAGAGACCCAATCCCAGCAGAAGGATGATAGCACTAGAACGGTCAGTCTGTTGTTCAGGACATTACAAAGCAATGATACATACGGGACGAGACCCAAGACACCGACGACGGCGGGTAGCGACAGGATGCCTAAGGACACGGTTTCGGCCACCATGACTATCAAATTAGTATCCAGCGGATCATCGTGGCAGTAAGCGGGACTCACGGAAACCACATTGCCTAGGAGCAGCCAGTCAGCTGGATTACACTGGAATTGGAACAACAGAAGAGACAATGGCGAACATACCACCAGCTGAGGACCTTGTACTTGACCTCGGCATACTCCTCATCACCAAAGGTGTCCTGATAGATGGGACTGCCCTTGCGATCCTCCTGCTTCTCCTCCTTGTCGTGCAGGGCGACATCATACTGGGGCGCATGATCCAATTCAGCAGCAGCGTGGCCGTCCGGGGCCATGCTCATGGGTTGCGACATCCTAGTATGATGGACGAGGGGGAGAGGGGAGGGGGAAGGGAGGGGAGGGGAGCAAGTCTCAACTCTCTCCTCTCTTCCAAGTTCAAGCTCTCCGACACAGCCGAGGTGAGGAGGAATTAAGGATGAAAGAAAAACCGGAAGAACTGGGGAAGAGTGCAGAATTTTTCCGAAAGCGGCAAGGCGGGATCGTCCGAGAGAGGATTGAATCCACCGAACTCCCCGAACACGCGAAGAAGAATTAAGGTACAGGTAGGAGTAAGGTAGCTGGCAGCTACTAGCTTTTCCCAGCCAGGCGAATTGAAGTGAGGGAATGGAGAGATAAACAAAACAAAAAGGCGTGCTTGGAGGAAAGTGGCAGGTGTGGCCTTCTGAGTCACTGGCGTTCGCCCACCCTCAACATTGCCTCATGGGCATTCAATCTCTGCTGGCCCGGCCAGGTTACATCTAGAATTCCCTCCTGGCCAATCGAGGTCTTTCATTACCTAATGTCCGCCCCGCCCTAGTGGAGGCTCTCCGCTCGCGGCTGTGGCTTCTCCGCCAATGAGAGTGAGCGGCGGGAAACTTGCGGGGGCTTTCCCGCTCGGCGAGCTTAAAATTTCTGCTCCCGAAGAGGCAAGGTCTCCCGACCATTCTTAGTCAGCCGCTTCCGCGCCAAGAGCCACGCCCCCTCCTCGCTTATCATCATCTTGCCTCTTTCGGGGCGCAACCACGATCTGCTCCTTCTGTCACTGGTGATGATCGGCAGCTGAGGGGCACATCTGACACCCTGCGCCAACCTTGGAAGTGTATATCCGGTTCCTGACCCGGTATTCTGGCGGGCTGCCACCCATGACTCGCTGATGACGAGAGGGGTTCGTCTCAGGTCGGCTTAGTGTGCCAGCTTCGTCGCTTGTTTCAGGGCTCAATCGCTTCAGGGTCCTTACTTGAATATCACCCTCGGCTATTGTGATGTTTAGACCCCTTTCACATCACCCAATAGGCAAAATGGCATGGTAGGCTGTACAAAATAGTTGAGTACGATCGCCCAAATCCTCCTTGCGACCGGGTCTCCTCAGGTTTGACCTCAACTTTATCATCAAATTAGTCATTTCAAAGCTCAAATCTACTCTGGATTGGGAGACTTAAATGGTCCCGGGTGTGTGCAATCTTCGAAGCTCAAGGATGCGGTAGTCGAGACTTGATCTCTCAATGTCATCAATGGTATTCATGAAACATTTTTGCAAGATGACGATGTTAAAACATGCACTAGATTTGCCCTATCCCCACACATAACACAAAATTGACACAATGGGCCAGCCATTGATGATCACCCAAAGAAGATAACCAAAACAAACCATCCGGGAAAAATACTAAGCACAGGAGATCTCACTGCAGCGAGATAGCCCTCGCCTTGGGCCCCTTGCACTCATATGTCGCCAGAAGCGTGTGTCCATCCAGGGCGAACACACCGGGCCAGTGGCTCGAATCAGCACAGATCGATGTCGAGGTCTGATCCCAACGGATCTCGCCTCCCCGCGGGGGCGGCGCAAACACCGCCTTGATCGACGCATTCTTGACCCAGTCGACCTGGTCGTGGTCCTCATCGGTCATGAACACGACCGCCAGCGACCCATCCGCAAAGGGAGCGATCTGCGGCGCGCCGGCGTTATGCCTGTGCCCGTCGTGGGGCGAATACACGACATGCCGACGGCCCCAGCTCTCCCCATCGTCGTCCGAGATAAGGGCCTCAATCTGCATGGGCCCCTTGGTGTTGGTCTCGAACACCATGACCAGGACCTCCTTTCCGAGGTCGGCATCGAAGGTCCGCGCGATGCCGTTCATTCCATCACGTCGGTGGTCATCCTTCCCATGCAAGCACCGGGGTTCCGACCAGGTGCTGCCCTGGTCGGTCGACGTCACCAGCATCGTGCACTGGTTGTTCGGGGCAAACTCCTGCGAGTAGGTGAGCTGCACCTCGCCCCCGCTGCCCATGCGCATGAACGGCTCCCAGATACCCAACCCGTCGGCACCGGACTTCTCGGCCGCCTGCGAGGCGAACTGCCAGGTACGGCCGCCGTCATGGGAGCGGCAGACGGTGATGCGGAAGTGGGTGACGCGGCCGGAGGGGTCGTGGTCGTGGTTTCGGAATGCCCCTAGCACAACAGAGGGGGCCACCTCCAAGAGGAAGAGGTTGTCTGTGTCCCCCGTACCGCGGGTGACTTCACCGATGTCCTCGAAATTGTGGCCGTCAGTACTGCGGGCGACAACGAGTACGCGTGCGCCGTCTCCAGGGAAGCGGGTGAAGGAGGAAAGGAGGGAGCCGTCTGAGAGGCGGGCTAGACGGGGGTAGGTGCCCCCGTTGCCATTGGAGAGAGCGCGCTGGTCGTGGTGGACGTGGCAGTTAGGGCGGGGGTGGCTGTGGCCGCGGTCTTGACCTGGGTAGCCCATTGGCTGCTGCTGCTGGCCATATTGTTGTTGGTTGTATTGGTGTTGCTGCTGGTTATAGTGGCCGTATTGCTGCTGATTGTACTGCTGCTGGTTGTACTGGCCGTATTGCTGCTGGTCATACTGCTGCTGACCGGGGTATTGCTGCTGCGGAGGGTAATACTGCTGCTGCGGAGGGTAATACTGTTGCTGCTGCGGGGGTTGCTGCTGTTGGTCGTGTTGGTCGTGATGGTCGTGAAGACCCAGCTTGTTGAGAATCTTGTGGCCGAAGTCAGGCATGGTGAATGGGATGGATCTGTGCGATGTAGATACAGAACGATAGAAATCCAGATGGTAGTGATGGTGAAAAGTCAATTGCGATGTTTGTTGGGGTATTCAGGGTTTCTTGCGGGATTGCGTGGCTTTTAAAAGGCGGGGCTGGATGACGTAACGCGGGGCCCCTGAAACATTGGGGGCGCTTACGCTATTTATAGTTAAGGTGTTGCCTGATATCATTTTATTTGAGGCTGTTGATCATTTGCATCACCACTGGAATCGATAGGACAGAGGGTATAGGATCATAAGGGCGTAGGGCTGACGCAAGTACGGATCCAGACCTGGCTTTCCGGGGTAAAACAATGGGGGGTAGTTAGGTAGTATTGAGGTACGGTACCGAACTCTCCCAACAATGAAAGCTTCAATGCCAGAAGTTTAGTCTAGAGACAAGGTAATGGACGATGCGCAGAGTAGGTATATATACACTTATGGCGCTATAGCAGTCGACTACTTGATTCAATGTCTCGGCTGCTGTAAAAACTCGACTAGGCGTGTATCGCGCTCCGCGGCAATAAGCAATATACTCTGAGTAAGGGGCGCCTTGCCGATGTAGTGTTCTAAGATATTGATAAGGGCTTCAGTCTCCACAGACGTTGTACTGATGATGGCTTCCATGGTCTCCTCGGTCCAGATATCTTTCCCCTCAAGATGTTGCACGATATATCGAAGAGACCTCTCGTCCCTTACGGAGCCAATCACTCTATCAGTGATCGGGACCCGAGGAACATGGCCGAGGATGTGCCACAAGAGGCTTGGGGCGCGGGCCGAAGTTTCCACAAACCACTCATCCACCGCCAAAAGGCCGCGATCAAGGAGTAGCAGCAGAGTGTGGAACGCCCCTAGATCGCCGTTGTCGCAGATTGCGAGAAATATCTCCTTGGTCGGGGCTTTATTGTTCGACCAGTCCAAAAGGACCTTCATATGGTCGACCTGATCGTGCATGACCAGGAAGACGCTGTCGGGCACAGTGGTGCCGGTGAAACTTTTCAAGACAGCCTGAAACTCTTTGCTGGTCTCCCATGGGCTTTTGTACTTGTTGGGATTCTCTGCGGCTGCTTGGAGGAGCTCCGACGACACGACATAGTCGGAGCCGAGGAGGGGGAAGAGAAAGAGGAGCACCGACAGCCCCCGGATTTCGTTCCCTGCCGCGGCAAACACCAACTCGTCCCTGATCGGGATTGTCGAGCCTCCATTAATCATAAGCAACTGTAGGACCTGCTCCGTATTCTTCTTAGCAGCATGCACAAGGATTCCATCTGAGACGATGAACCCGGCCTGTTGTCGAGCGAGCAACGTCTCGAGAATGGCGAGCCCTAGCAGACGATTCGAGACGGCGGCGACCATGGTTTGGTAGCCAATGTTGAATCGCGGACCCCATTCATCCAACAGAAAGTTAATCAATTCGAGGTATTCCCATCTCTCTACCGCAGCTGCAGCAGAAAGAATGCTCTGCTGGATGTTGGCACTCAGTTCTCTACCATACAAGAGGCCGCGAACCACATCCCTGGCACTCGGGTTGCTGATCGCGGCAAGTAAGACGTTGCGTTCCATCATGAGATGCTCTCCATAAACCCGAAGAACCAGTTTCAAGAGTCCACTGTCGGCTGTCCGAGCGAAAGTCTCTGCATGCTCGGGCTTCAGACAAACAATGCGGTCTTGGTTCTCCAGAATGAGGCACGCCAGACTCGGATTGGACCTCGATTGTTCAGCCACAGACTGCATAATTTGTTCTGTGAAACTTATTCTCTCGTCTCGTCGCTGAATCAGGACTTCTAGTACCCTGGCGCCACAATCGTCATTCTGTAATGTGGCTTCCAGAAGCTCTTTCGTCACCGAAGGTGTTTCTTTATCTCCGCGATTGAAACATAGCCCCAAGAGTACGTTCCCACAGTGGCGGTTCTTGGCCATACTGACAAGGAGGGCTGGGTGAATCGAGTCGTCGCTCTTTCCCCCGTCGCGTAGCACACCCATATTCCAAAGCAGGTCTATGACAAGACATAATGTTTCTTGCTCCTGGGTGGATCGAGGGCGCATTCGAAAGAGGATTTCCTGCACCTCCTGCAAGGGAATCGTAATCACACGTTGTAAAAGAAGTGCCAAAATTGTAACGCTATGCTCGGCCGCGTAGACTAGCGTGCTCTCACCCTTATTTTCTCTGTTCTTTAGAGTGTCAGAGCCCGTCTGCACCAGTAGGTCTGCTAGGTGTCCCAGTTGCAGAATGATCGCCTTTTCAATTGGCGGCACCCAGGCTGCTTCCGTCCAGCGGCGCCATGCCTGTTTGGTGTAGGAAAAGTCGAACGAATACAAGCGTTGCCAGTTGTGATATAAAAGGGGCTCGGTGAAGAGTCTTATCAGCATTGAATAGATTTCCTGCAACGGGTCGGGTTTCAAGATTTCCAACTTCCGAAGATGGTCGGGCCAATTTTCACTACTGTAGCGCAGAAGTGGCTTACTCATGGCAACCATGAGTGACAAATCTTCTTCCTCGGAGAGAATATGCCTCAGCATCTGGTTCAGAATGAGGCGGTGTCCAAGTATTTCTGACATGTGGCACCAGTGAGCCACTTGCTCCGAAAGAAGAAACTCTTTCACGGAAAAATGAGCAAGTCTGATAGTCCCGTCCGCTGTGTTTAAGGTAACCATCTGTGTCGTACAAATTTCAATTACGCTGTCCGGTGATGGGAAGCCGGCTACTTCTGCTACAGCTTCCCGACTTAGGGGCTTCATGGAGAAAGTGAGCCAATTGAAAATGGATCGCACTGCGTCGTGGTACCTTGGTAGAATCTCCTGCTCGAGGATGCCTTTGTACGTCGCCTCAAGAGAGTCAGGAATTGTTGTAAGCGCTTCATCAATATCTTGGGGAATGTGGCATCTTTCTAGGCGCTTTAACTGCAGGTCAACCCAGCGAAATCGCCTACCTCATAGTTAGCACGGAGAAGGACTGTAACATGCACCCATGACTTGCCTTTCTGAAACGTTCAGCAGCTGGTGTTCTATCCTCTCAAGGATAGAGCGGTTCCATCTACGCAGCCTGCCACTGGTTAGCCTCTCTTGCACAAACTTCTCGACGTCTCCGCTCAGAGCATCCTCGAGTCCGAATAAGGTGTGTTGCGCCAGAGCTTTATGAATGTCGGGTTCCGGTCTGCTTGTGGCAAGCAAGTGAACTTTGGTAGGAAAATCTCTTATCAGACCATCCATGAAAGTCAAGAGGCGCCTTTCTCGAGTCTCAACCGGGCATTCGTCGAGGGCATCGAAGATGATGAATATGTCTGCAGGCAGCAGATCTATGATTTCCGTGAAGATTGTCAAGAGGACGTCCAAGTCCGGCTCTCGGTTCCTCCGATGATCTTCCCAGACTTTTCTGATCGGGCTGGGAATAGGCCGGGGACACAATTGCCGTATAAAAGATCGGATCATACTCTCCATGCCTTGCGTTTCGTTGTCACTGAACTTGAAGTACCAGTATGCTAGAACACACGGCTCATTTTGTTGGCAGTGCAGGTCAGTGTCTGCAATGATGGTGGAGCATAGGACTGATTTGCCGCAACCCACAGGGCCATGCATCCACAGCAGCTGTCCCGGTGTGGTCTTCCAGCGTTGATAGCGGTGGCTCGACTGCACAAACCATGTTCCCGTATCGGGCGAACGAGCCTTCTTGGTCTCGTTCTGGATGTTGGAATAGGAGAAAGTTGAGATCCAGTCGAGGATGTTGCGTTCCTCTTGATCATTGGTTCGAACATCGATACTGTGCACCCGCCTGGCCATCTCGTCAATCCGCACCAAGGTATCCTCGGCACGGCGACTCTGATCCTCATCTCTCACAATCATTTTCCATTGATCCACGACGGCGCTTTTCTGCTCCACCACCGACTTGAGCCGGTCGAGCGGCTGGTCGATCAGAGCAGTTATACTCTTCCCCACTCGAGCAACGGCACTCTCATGTCTCGCAGTCTGGACCTCTGCTATATACCGAAGAAGCGCAACATAGACCTCCACCAGAGCATCGTCCAACCTTGCCGAACTGGCAATGGTCCCCTTCCGGTAGTTGTGCTCGATGATACTATGGTATGCGAGAGCCTTGGCGAGGAACTCCGATGCATCCATGATCGCATCCCGCCTATCGATGTCGTTCTTGATCAGCGTGAGCCCAAAGGCAACGACTGACCAAGCGATCGAGGCGTAGCCGGTAGGATCGAACCCGGCCACCGCTTTGATGAGGTCCTGGGCCTGTAGCGCGCAGACGAGGACCTTTTTGGCCGAGCCTCGAACATCGACTTTCCTGTTGCTGGCATCGCGGTTCCGGATGCTCAACTTGCCGTTTTGGTAGTCTTCGTATTTGGCGCTGATTTCTTTGATGATCTCCGCCAGCACTCCATCGATTGAGGGGGAGTTGCCGTCCTGGCTCAATCGCAGCCGTTTGCGGCTTTCTTCGTCCAGTTGTTCTTCTGCTCGTTTCCAGAGGTCATCTTTTTTCACTGATACTAGTGAAGCTTGCTGTGGTGGGACAGTGGTTTGAAAGGGAGAACGCTTGATTTGTGATGGTTTGGAAACCGAATGGGAGGAGGAGGTGGACGGGGAGAGGAGATTCACCGGCCGCGGAGGGGCAGCGGCCGCGTCGGCTGCGTTCCTGCCGTTCTTGTCCCCGCAACAGCCCCAGTCAAAGGGCATCGCAACTGCCAGTCCGTGAATGCGATACCGATAGTGAATGTTGATAATTACCTGAACCCTGAAGAAGTCAATGTGAATGCGAAGCAGGTAAAAAGGAGATGCTTTTTTTTCCTCTTTATGTCTCCTTCAATATTCCACCAGCCTTGCTCTAAGCGCTCTGACACAGCCGCCACTAATTTAGTCTACTAGGCAACTAACTTAACTTTAGTTAGTTGGCTTTTCTGCTGAGATAGTCTAGACCTATATAGTTAACTGACCAACCCACCATTTTCTAAGATTTCATTTTCTAGCTTGATCTAGCTTTTACGTTTTACAGCAACTAGGATAGTTAGTAAATCTCTA